CCCCAGTCCACAGCCCCACTACCCCGGGCTTACTGGAGGGTGAGCTGCCAGGTTCCAGCACATCCAAGAAGGTGTAGTCGGTGCGCAGGTACCGGGCACCCCAGAAGAGCGTGCTCTTCCTTTTCCTCAGCACCAGGCAGAAGGGGTGGAAGCGCTTGAAGTCTATGAGGCTGTCCAGAGGCGTCAGGTCCCCTCGAGGGTTCAGCTGTCTGGTCAGGGCCCGGGTGACATTTTCAAACATGGTCATTGTCTCTGGGGGGCCAGAGGGAGACAGAAGGGTGACAAGTTGGGAGACCAGGCCACGGGAAGGCCCCTGCTGAGCGAGATCACCCTCAGGATGCTGGGATTCTTGGAATGTCTGCGTTGGAAGGAACCAAAGGATTCTTCGCTTTATGACGAGGAAGCGAGGCCTCCAGAACTGAGGCAGCTTGCCCAAAGCCACCGGCTAGAGAAGCCATCCCTGCCCTTTCTTTGTCAAAGGCTCTTCTCAATCCGCACACGTTTTATTCACGGACGTGGCCGGAAGCCAAGCTCTTCTCACACAGCTATGCCCACCTCATCTTCCCAGAGAACTGTGACAGCCTGGACCGGGGATGCCAGGGGAGGGGGCAGCCACCGCGGGCGCCGAGGGCCTGGGGAGGCAGTTGCCCTGTTTTGGGGGTTGGAGTCACTTCCCTGTACCCTTACCTCCCTGTGCCCTCCCCCTGGCTCCCGGGGGTGGGAGCCACTGCCCTCCGGGGCCTGCCCCGCAGATCCAGCCATTTCACTGCTCTTTGCCTTTGCTTCCCTTCTGCTTACTGCTCCCTTCCAATCTAGAGTCACTAGTCATCCTTTACAGCTTAATTTGGGTCACCTCCTCTGTGATCTCTTCCCTCATCCTCTCAGACAGCTCCACCCCACGTCCCCAAAACAGGTGTCCTTCTGAACACACCTGCAACCTCATGTTATGATCTATTCACCCGACTCTCTGACCTACTCTGCTGGGACCTCCCAGAGGGAAAGAAATGGCTGTTAGTCATCACAGCAGCAGCAGCAGCACCAGGCACAGAGCCTGGCACAGATTCGGAGCTCGGCATGTGCGTGCAGAAGGAATGAATGAACAAGCGAATGAATGTGGCCCCGGGAGACACAAGCTGGGGCGAGAGAGCCCTAAAAAATATGGGGCCTGCAAGAGCCCGAGGTTCATCCTCTTGGGTCTCTGTCTTTGAGGTTCAAGTCCAGGTGCACGGGCTGGGCAGCCAGCTGGCTGAGCCAAATTATCCCCGTGGGTGGCAGAGGATATACCAGCTGGCCTGGAATTGCTTCACCTCCCCTGTAGGCACTTCGGAGAGTCATGGAAGCAGGAGGCAGTGCACAGATGTATGGGCTGTTCTGCCAGCCACACGAGCTCTCCTCATTCCTAGGAGGGCCAGGATGGGGCAGGACCAGCTCCCGGGCCAGCCAGACTTACCTGGGAGGGGCCCGGATGCCTGCAGTCTCCTCACCAGAGAGGTGCTCACAGGCTCCCTTCGCTCCCCGAGGCCAATCAGGAAACCAGCCCTATTGGGCTCTTGGGGATCCCTAGACCCTTCTTGACCCACCCCGGTTCTTGTTCATCCCTCGAACAGCTCCTGCCTTCTCTGCTGTCATCAAGCTCTTACCAGGGAGTGGTCCTGGGTTCTGTCCGGCGGCCGGGTCTGTGGGTTGAGTGAGTGACTGTCCCTCACCAGGACAGGTTGCTGCTTTATGTGTCTGTGGAGGTGAGGATGTAGGCCTGCCCCAGTAACCACACCCCTCTCCCACTCCACTTCCGGGAGAACAGCATGAACCTGTTCCACATGTGTCCTGCCCCAGGGGGCAGGTGGCAGCGTGGGTTGGGGGAGCCAAGGCCAAGAGAGAGGTGGCAACTGAAGGTCAGCTTATTGGGCTGAGAGGACAGGAATAAAGGCACCTTTGGGAGAAAAGCATGGAAGTTGGTGTGTGTGTGTGTGTGTGTGTGTGTGTGTGTGTGTGTGTGTGTGTGTGTGTGTGCGTGAGAGAGAGAGAGAGAGAGAGAGAGAGAGAGAGAGAGAGAGAGAGAGAGAGAGAGAGAGGAGGGAGGGCATCTCTGTTCTGTTATCACGGTCATCAGGAAGCATCTAGGATTTATGGTGAGACCTTGGGGGTGTGATAAGTGGATAAGAAATCCCGTGTGTTTACAGATTCCCCCATAAAGCGGAGCAGCTGTGAAGTGGCCCTCCATCTTTCTGCTAGTCAGCCTGCATATTACGACCCAGCTCCATTTGTTTTCCTTACATACACGGATCTACGGCGCTGCTGGAAGCATATGTCTGTGTAGGCAGAGTTGGTTTTCTGTTCTTCTGTGTTCAGCATCTCTGCTCCTCATGCAGCACTGTATGTACACATGCACACACACTTATAGGCAGAGGCATATGGAGCTAGTGAAACCCAAAATGTGGTTTCTGCTGGGAGAATTTCGACGTCTCCCCACGGGTCCCTCGAGTCTTGCTCCCACCTGGAATCCCTGCCCGGAAGGAGCTCTAAAGGAACTTACACACCTGGGGAGGCTCTAGGTGACACGTACAGGCCCGGGCTGTGTCCGTGTCTGTGTCCGTGTGCGTGGGTCACCTGACTGCAACTGAGCATCTGTGCTCCACCTGGAGGCTCTCAGCATCGCTCACCAAACACGGGGTGCAGCTCTGAAAGCCACGGAGACTGAGTGAGGTCTTTCCTGGAGGTTTTCGTGAGGGGATGGTGGTGAATGGGGAGATTAGGCCACATTGATTTCAATGAAACTCCCTAAAAACTTAATTACTCCACCTCTATCCCAAAGTCTCAATCAATATGGTGGCTCCTCCCAAATCTCTCTTTTCTATATCTCACACCAAACAAGCAAGTGCCCCTTCAGGGTCTCTGGTCGCTGACCGCTGTCTTTTTGCTTGCCTTCCTCCCCAGGCCCTTTTTGCATACTTCCTCCTTCCATAGCCCTAGACTTTACCTTAACCTCACATCCCGCCCCCCGAGGGGAGGAAGGCAAGAGTTTGGACATGTAGGAAGGTTGTCATTTGTTATTTGGTCCCTTTCATGCCTGCACATGTATGTAGAAATCTGTTGTGTGTATAATATTCTTCCCATTTCTATGTTTTCCTGGATTTTCGCCTCTTCCTCTCTCTCTCTCTCTCTCTCTCTCTCTCTCTCTCTCTCTCTCTCTCTCATATTTCTTTATTGATTTCAGAGAGGAAGGGAGAAGGAAAGAGAGATAGAAACATCAATGATGAGAGAGAATCATTGATCGGCTGCCTCCTGCTCACCTCCTACTGGGGATTGAGCCAACAACCCAGGCATATGCCCTTGGCTGGAATAGAACCAGGGACTCTTCAGTCCACAGGTTGACACTCTATCCACTGAGCCAAGCTGGCTAGGGCTGTATCTCTCTTTTTAAAAAATTATGTTTTTATTGATTTTAGAGAGAGAGAGGAAAAGAGAGGAATAAAGAGAAAAACATCAGTGGGCTGCCTCCTGCACACATCCTATTGGGTGGTTGGGAATTGAACCAGTGACCTCTCGGTGCATAGGGGTGCATGGGATGGCGCTTAAGCAACTGAGCCACATTGGCTAGGGCTATATCTGTTGATCTGTGCATTGATGTATATAATCCTGGGCTGTGCGTCTCCCTTCCCTTAGCTCCAGAGTAGGCAGCTCCACTCTAACCCTCTCACCATTGCCTCAGCCAGACTTTTGGGAGTTTTCCCCCGGTGTCCACTCTCCTCCTGCTGGCTGCAGGCCAAGATTTCCAGGCCAGCTCATCTTCCAAAGATCTAGAGAGCAGTGGTTTCAAGAAACCACACATGTGTCTGCTCTCTCTGCGATAGATTCCAGAAGTCCATCTACCCAGCTTGCTCTCCTCTGCCCCAGACGTTTTGCTGCTTTTCTTTCTCTCGGCCTCATTCATGCTGAACTCTACCAGGCCTGTCCTCATTCTCTTTGTCCCATCCCCACCCCACCTCTGACACATTGAACCATTCCTCAAGTTGCCTAATGGTGCTCCAAGCAGGAGGCTTTCAGGGTTCAAGGCAGAGAGAAAAAATATGGGCTGTGGGGTCAGCCTGGTTAAAAGTCCTGTGCTTTTGGGATAAAAGTCTCCATGTCAGGCTTGCCCCTGTGCTGCTTCTCCCACCCATCCAGGTTACTCTGTCTTTTTATAACCCTCTCCCACTCCCACCCCCACGCCCACCCCTCACCCCCATACCCATAGTCTTAGGGAAAGTCTACAGAATCCCTTTAAGATCCTGGTTTATGTTCCAGGGAATCTGGGAACATATTTAAAAAAATGTTTTATTGATTTTAGAGAGAAAAAGGAAGAGAGAAGGAGAGAGAGGAAGGGAGAGAAGGAGAGAAAGAAGGAGAGGAACATTGATCTGCTGCCTCCTGCATGCACATCCCCCACTGGATGTGGATCAAGCCCTCAACTCAAGCATGTGCCCTGAGGGAAAACTGAACCAGTGACCTTTCGGTGCATGGGACGTCACTCCAGCAACCGAGCCACATCGGCCAGGCCTGGGACATATTTTAAATTGCGCTGGAAGGTGTTTAAGTTTGACTAATACGTAAGAACTCTTTAAGTCCATTAAAAGTGACTTGCTGAGGTGGCGGTGCCTGGTGCTGATGCGGTGGTGGCTTTGCTCTCTTTCTCCCTCTGGTGGTCAATCAAGAGAAGGAATGGCTGATAATCACCCCTGAAGTGCATGCCAAGCTTTTGACTTGTGCGTGGTTGGTGGGCGATGGGGATCCAGTCAGGAAATTGGCTTAGGGGAGAAGCCCCGGGCCAGGGTTCTCTGGGGACCTGATCGCCTCCCAGAGTGACCCACAGAGTGCTCCCAGAGTGACCCACAGAGTGCTCTGCAGACCCCGCAGACAGACATAGATTTTGGGACAGGACATTCCTTCCTCACACGTTTTCCTTCTCACTGCTGTTGATTTTCTGCTCACCAGGGGGCCAAAGAGGAAAGAGAGAGGCGTGGTCTACTGGAGGTCAGGAGGGTGGAAGGAACCAGTCCTGCCAAGAACAGGAAGAAGCTGGCAGTGACGGGGGAGAAGGTTCAGGAAAGCGCCTGTAGGATATGGAGCCCCCTTGCAGGATGTGGGACGGCTGGAGCATTTGGGGGGAGTTACCCCTCGCACAGACATACTTCTGTATCTCCTCTGAGTATGAGAAGGTGAAATAGTGAGAAAGGGAAGTGAGCGGGATGGAGGGGTGACTGTCTGGAGAGGCAGGAAGAACCTTCCCCAAGGTCGTTGAATTTTACACTCCCCATGGGAGGCTGGGAGTTTTGGGGTGCTCTTCTTCCATAAATGCACTTCTTTTCTGAGCACAGCAAAACCTCCAGACCCCTTTTTTGTTCCTTAAAAACATTGAGATTTCTCCCTAAGTCCCCAGATTAGCTTTGGAGCCCGTGGCATCGCCAGACGCCTTGCCGAGCAGACACTGTTCAGTGTCTGTGACACTCACTCAACTCCAAGTTGGGCTGAAGAATTGAAGTGATAAACATACCTGTTCATCTCGAAGCATGTCAAACTCAGCACCAACCCTCAAGATGGCGGCCCCCGGCCCTCCACTGCCATCCTCCTGAGGATGCGGCTGGAGCAGGTGCTGGCGCTCCTGTCCCTTCATGGCGTTGCTCCTCAGCGAGGCTCTTCTGCTAGGACAGAGCTCCCGGGGTCCTTGTTAGCGAGACGGGGTCCCAGATGGAGCTCTTTACCATCTCCCTAGGCCCGTGCCACACTCCACTCCGCTTCCCCTAGCCCTGGTTGAGGTTAACCAGGTGTCACCTAGTGCCTGGAGGAAGGAGAGGGCGGCACAGAGTGGTCACAAGGCATCAGGCACCCACACAGAGAGGAGTCCAGCCCCTCGTGTGTCATTTTTAGGACTCGCCACCTCCCCTGCAGAGTCCCTCCGGGGCCTGGGCCACCTTCAGCTTCTCGCCCCAGCAGCCTCTGACCAGATGGAAGAGAAGACAGAGAGCACTGCCTGCCCTGGGAGAAATTCTGGCCCAGGATGGTCTCCATGGGGACAGTAGAGAATGGACGGCACAGGATGCTCTGCATTTGGGGAGGGAGCCGCCAACTGCTAAGGTGCTCTGCGGTAGAAATGTAAATTTCAGCCCTGCCCCCCATCCTTGACCTCACTGCCCATTAGTTCTAGAGTGGAGCGGAAGTGAGCAGGGATTGGGAATCTGGAGACCTGGGTCTCTGGAGAGAGCTCTGCCTGGAGCCTGCAGTGTGGCCTGAAGGACCTTCTCTCTCTGGGCCCCAGTGCTCATCTGTGCGGAGGTGGAGCTGGGTGAGCTCCCGCACCCCCTCTGGTGGTCAAACTCAGTTTTACCATAGTTGTCATCCTTGCACCCTAGGACCCTTACCGGCTCCGTCGGTTGGGGTAGGAACCCTTTCTCCATGGACAGGGTACGCAAGGAGATAGCAGGAGGGACAAGGGCAAACTCTCCCTCTGGTGGGCAGGGGATTGTAATGCAGCTCTGGGAGCTGGAACTAACACGTATGTGTGCCTGTGTAGGTGCATGTGTGTGTGTAGCGGGGGCCAGCAGATTCACTCTTTCCACTCCGGGAGTGAGTGAGAGAAGATTCCTTGAATGATGTCTCCTCTTTCTTTTAGGGAAAATAGGTGTGGAGTAGGTGGGCTTGCCCCTTGGAGGAGGGGACAGCAGGGTTTGGACTCTGATTCGCTCTGCCTGTGGCTTGGTAGGAGAGCCAGCTTCATAGGCATGCAACCTGTCAAGCTGCACATGGCCCCATGCTTGGTTCAATGTGGAACGATTCTTAGTCCTTTTTAAACAAGGAGCCCTGTGTTTTCATCTGGCGCTGGAACCCGTAGGTTATGTTGCAGGTCCTGCTTGTTATCATAGGGCCTCATCCATTAGGCCCGTCAGTCCCATCAGGGACCAAGCCCATCCCCACTCCTGACCCCACCGACAGGTACGAGATTGAGTTTCCTAGAAAACTCCCGCAGTCATTGGAGGACTCCACGAACCGCTGGCTCTCTAAGATCTAGGGCCTGACCCCTTGGCAGAGAGATGAGGAGTGGTCAGCTGGCAGAGGGGAGCAGTCTCCCCGTTCAGAGTGGGGACTCCCTTAGGGAAGGGGTCTAATCTCTCCCTTAGCCTGAAGGAAACTCCCCCAGAGGCGGGCTGAGCTCTCACTGGACCAGGAGGTCGGCCCCGCCCCCCGCCGCCTTAGCCACGCCCCCTCCACCTTAGTCCCGCCATCACCACCCGTGCCCGCCCCCGCCCCGCGCTCACCGTCTGTCCCCATCTCTTTAGCCCCGCCCTGACCTCCCCAACCCCGCTCATGCAATCCGGTCTGTCCCGCAGCCGGCACTCCTAAGTCCCTCCTCTGGCCTCCACGACCCTGAGGTCAACCGACAGCCTCCTCCTGCACTTTCCCATCACTCCGCCGGGCCCGCCCCACTGTGTCCTCCAGCCCCGCAGCGTCCAGTCCTTAGAGCCCATGTTCCCAGTCAGGCCCTTCAGCCCCAGCAGCTCCTCCATCTCGTCCTGCAGCGCCAGGCACCCCATGTGCTCCAGGGGGCGTGGGGATGGGGATTGGCTCAGGCCTGGACTGAGCTTTGAGGACAGGACTCTGGTGACCAGGCATTGAACCCAGGACCCTTCAGTCCGCAGGCCGACGTTCTATCCGCTGCCCCAAACTGGCTAAGGCTGCAGTGCTTTTTAAGTAAACACTTTTAATAACGTCCCTGCCTGCTGTCAGGTGGTGGTTTCTCACTGTGTTTACTCTGTCTGTAATAGACTTTTTGCTGCTTCAGATGTATTGCTTCTAACTTGCTGTAGGCAGGAAACCACGGTTCCAAAGTTCTTAGAACTCTATGAAAAGTAAGATTTTTGAAACTTGGTAAAATGAATAAGTTCTGAGTAAGAGTTCCTGTGAACCAACATGAGCCTTGGGCAGTGTTTGCCTTAGATGACCTTTCTGGGCTCACAGGGCCCCTGTGCACCCCAAGGATGGGCCCCGTGACCTCCTCATCTCTGTCCGCAGTGCCTGCCACACCGCAGTCACTCAGTCAGTGTTTTTCGAATGAATGAGTGGACTCGTGGCGGCGGTGTCTGTTTTGGCAGCGTGGATGTCTGCTCTGCTTTGTTTGCTGCATTCCTGACTTGGGACAACATCCCTCCTCGGCGGGAGAGAGTCCCAGAGAGAGGAAGAAAACCTGTTTCCAGTTGGAACTCCCCTCATTCTGATGGGGAGGCACAGTCCCTCCCCGTGAGGAAGCTGCCCGAGTCCTGCTGGTGTCGATGCTGAAGCCCCTCCCTCTGCGGAGAGCTCAGCGTTGCACCAAAGGTCTGTCTGTTGAACCCCAGGCAGGAAGGGTGGGGCACACCCCACGCCGTGCTCCTCAGCTGCCTCCCTCAGCTCCCTGGTGCTCCGTGTGCTCTCTGCTCACTTCCTCTCGTAGAGAACGAGATTTTGTAGGCGCTTTAGCCTCTGTGTCGGGGTATGTCTGGATCTCATCAGGCTCAGAGCTCCCCAAAGAGAAAGAAAGCTGTTTACTCCATGACTGAGAGTTAAGTCCAGGTCGCGGCCTTCCTGACTTGGGGCTCCCTGAGGGCAGTGTCTGCTTTCTGCACCTCTTCATAGGGCGGGAAGACGCTGGTGGTGGGAGGGCGGAGTGAGGGACTTCTTTCTTTTTTCAAAAAAATATTTTTTATTGATTTTAGAGAGAGAGAGAGAGGAGAGGAGAGGAGAGGAGAGGAGAGGAGAGGAGAGGAGAGGAGAGGAGAGGAGAGGAGAGGAGAGGAGAGAGAAACATCAATGATGAGAGAGATTCATTGATGAATGAATCTCTGCACACTCCCTACTGGGGATCAAGCCCACAACCCTTGCACAGAACTGAACCTGGGATCCTTCAGCCCGCAGGCCGATGCTCTACTCACTGAACCAAACCAGCTAGAATGGGAGCCAATGGAGCATCTTTCCTGCCACCCCTGCTCTCCCTCTTCCTTTCCTCCTGTCCTTGCTCCACAGAGGGAGAGGAATTTGAGCCAGAGGGGACCTAAGGGGGTCACTGGTGGGAAGTTTGTGATCCAGGGCTCCTGTTCCATCCTGAACTCACCGCTGAGATTTGGAGATAAGTGTCAGGGTGGGGGAGCTAACGCTCTGCAGACCAGAAAGGCTTGGTCTCTGCTGCTCAGGATGACAGGGAGTCTAATGAGCCTCTAGGAATGGGCACCAATCATAGAGGCACAGGGCCCCACCCTTCCACCTCCACAGATCCATGCAGCCTGTTTCCCAGAACCCAGCGAGACACGGTCCAGCCTAATTCCAGCAGGGGGTGGTGAGCCGAGTGGGGCAGACTCAGAGTGGCAGGGGAGGGACCGATGGAGGGTTTGATAGGGAGGGGCCAGGATTCCAAGGCCCAGGCCAGGGTGTGGCTGGGGTGGACGGTCAAGGCTGCAGCCTGAACCTCCCCACACCCTATTCCTTCCCCCACCCCTGAGGTGGGGAGGCCCACGTCTCCTGAGACAGGAGGATGGGTGGGGTGCCCCAGGTTTTTCTGACGTGAATCAAATTGAGGCTCCCTGGATGATAGGAGAGCTCAGCCTTGGATTGGTGGGAGGAGCCTCAGGGATGGAGAGAGGAGAGGGGTCTGGGAAGGAGACAAAGGCATCAGGATGGGTCAGAGGGACCAGGGGAGGTGATGGATTTCTCCTGAGTGGCCACCCAGTCTGCCCCAGGCTCTGCCCCAAGCTAGGGGAACCTTGGTTCAGTGGTTTTTGAAAAATATATATATTGTTTTTTTGTTTTGTTTTGTTTTTACAGAGAGGAAGAGAGGGTTAGAGAGTTAGAAACATCGATCAGCTGCCTCCTGCACATCCCCTACGGGGGATGTGCCCGCAATCAAGGTACATGCCCTTGTGGGGAATGGAACCCGGGACCTTTCAGTCCGCAGGCCAATGCTTTATCCACTGAGCCAAACCGGTTTTGGCAGTTCAGTGGTTCTTACCTTCAGCTTCTACTGGGGCTCCTACAAGCTTCCCCAAAGCAGCTGCTTCCTCCCTGGAGGCCACGTGGGCAGATCACTCTGCATGGGGCCAAGGGACAGGGTGTGCTGGTCCCTCCGGGCCCCTGGAGAAGCCTGTTCAGTGACAGGGATCTCTCAGGTAGCCCCTGCTTCGGCCAACTTGGTCTTCACCCCCCCCCCCCCCCCAGGAATTCTTTCATTAATTTTGAGCACATCTAGTTTCTCCTACCCCCTGCTCAGACTCCCGCTGAAAGAAAAGAAGACTGCAAGATGGCAATAGCTCCCTCTCCCTTTGCTGGAGACTGCTGGCAGATGACTGATGTCCAGACATTGCCCTCTTCCCGCCCTCCCCCCAGGCCCCTCCATTCCCCATCCTTCCCGTTTGTCATCATTAATTCAGAGGCCCTGGCATTTCTAGCAGATGAACCCTAGTGCCAGGAGCTGAGTGCCTAGTGCCAGGTAGGGAGGGAGAAAGGAGAAGGCATCTAACCCAGCAGGAGCAACCCCCACCAAAGGGTGATGGTGAAGCTCCCCCCTCTTCCCCTCTCCTCAATGCCAGGCCATAGTGTTTAAGGAAAAGAACAATAAGAAAAAGACCAGGGGCATTAACAAAAGTGGCTTTATTGAGTTGTCTTGGGGTGATGTTCCGGGTGTGGGCAACCTTCTAATCCTCCCACCCCTGCCCCCAGTTCCCCGGTGAGGGACCCATCCCCAGCTCAGGCATAGAGGAGACCACTACACCCCCAAGGGAAAGAGTTTAGGAAACCCTTCAATATATGGAGAGAGCAGAAAAATGGGGAGCCTCTGGAAAAGGAACCATGGGGCCCTAAGCCAGGGGTTCCCCAAAAGAGGACCTAGGGGGAGGAGCCTGGGGCCAAGAGAGAGGCATATGTGAGGGAGGAACTTCTCAGTAGAGGTGAGAGAGAGGAGGAGCCCGCAGGGTCCTTCTCAATCTGACTGCACTCCAATTTTCTGACCCCACCTCCAGCTTGGTCCCTTCATCTCCATGCCCTCCTTTGCAATCTCTGTTTCATCTCCAGGGTAGGGCTTGGTGCTGCCCAGACTTTCCAAGTGGTTTCCCATCTTCTTTGCCTTTGTTCACCCCCTTTCAGGAGGGTCCTCTCTCTTCTGTCCGAAGCCCTTAGCATTCTGGAAGAGTTCACTCAGACTTCCATACAGTGAAGCCTTGGAGATCAGCTCAGCCACACAGCTGTCTGCCCTGCCTCTGCGTGGGCACACGTGCCACCTACATTCTCTGTTCTGCAGTCCCCCCTCACCACGGTGCCCTCGGGAGCTTTGAGGCTCACACAATCTGGGCTCAAAGCCGGCACCCAAAACTCTAGGCACCAATAACAGTGTTGGCTGAAAGAGAGCGATCAGGAGGATAGGAGAGACAGAGGAGGGAGCGGGGTGGGATTTGGGGGGTGGGGCGAGGCTGCAGAGGAGGCAGAGGGGGTCAGAGGACAAGAGAGAGAGCCCAGGGGAAAGAGTGTGGGGTGTGGGGCCAGAGGAGGGGACCTGGCCATCAGACCAAAGTGCTGAGGGTGGAGGAGTCCTCCTCGGAGCGCACCGGTGGCGGCACGGGGGCCCTCTTGAGGGGACGTCGGGTCTCATCCCGGTTCTGCCACACGTAGTGGGCCAGGTAAGCCACCACCAGGGCCAGCCAGCCCCCCATGGTGACCAGCAGGGCCACGTCTGTGCTCCGCCGGGCCCCGCCCCGCCCCGTCCCACACAGCTCTTCCTCCCCTGCCAGCAGCAGGAACTCCTGCCCCACGAGGTCTGGTCGGGCTCCAGGGCCACACACGATGCCTGTCCCCGTGCCCGGTGCCAGCCTCACCTGTCGGAGAACCTCTTGGAGGGCACAGTCGCAGCGCCATGGGTTGGCAGACAGGTTCACTTGGATCTGCAGCCCCACAAAGGCCTCCACGGGCACGGAAGCCAGCTGGTTGGCAGAGAGGTCGAGGTGCCGCAGTGTGCCCGCCAGGCCTTGGAAAGCAGCCCCCGAGAGGTGGGCAAGGACATTATGGGACAGATCCAGCTCCTCCAGAACAGGCAGGTGCTGGAAGGCACCGGCTGGCACCGATGCTAGCCGGTTGGCATCCAGGTAGAGCTTGCGGGTGTCGTTGGGAATGCCAGTGGGCACAGCAGTCAGGCCTGCCTGGCTGCAGCGGAATGTTTGCTCACCAGCTTCCTCTGCCACGTAGCAGCCCTGGGGAGGTCCCTGGGGACTGGGCATGGTACCCCCTGTGCCCATCACCAGCAGCAGGGACAGGAGGTGACAGGCTGGTGCGAGCATGGCCACAGACTGGCATAGTCCTGGAATGGAGCAGGATCTGGGGAAGAGAAGGTTCCATAAAGGAAGAGTGAGTCAAGACAATTCCCTTTCCCACTGCCAGTCTCTGCCTGAGGGCTCCCTGCAGCGTCTCTGTGAACTGGGGACCTTCCTTTGGGGATCTCACAGGCCTGGCAACCTTTTTGCTTTCTCTTTGGGGTTTAGGGCTCCTCATTCAGGCCCTCTGGGAAAGAAGTCCTCTGGGCCTGACCCTCTCCTAGAGTCTCTTTGGTTCTGGAGGGCGAATCTATAAAGTCTCTTGGGCCAAGGCCCTGTTGTCATTCTGAGTCTGGGGGCTTCTAAGTTTCTGTTTCTGCCTACGTATGGGTTTTCCTCAGTGGAATAAAGTCTTTTCCCACCACCTTACCTGGGTGGCTGCCAGGTGGGCCAGGTGGGCACCAGAAGGCCAGTTGGCACTAGAGTGAAGGATACAAATAGGACATGTTGGTAATAAGATTTTAGGGCATCCCGCTAGGCTAGGTGACTAAGGGCCCACTTCAGTGTCCATTACCCCTTTTCCTGGAGCATCACTCCTCTGCTGCTCCAGCTTCGTCTCCTCTACCCCACCCAATTTTCTGCCTTGTTCCCTCTTTTCTCTAAGCCCCTCACCTCTGTTGTGGGGAGAGCCTTCTCCTGGGCTGCCCCCTCCCGGAAGTAGCCTTCCTGTTGCTCCGCTCTGGAGACCCGCTTCCTTCTCCAGAAGTCCTGCTTGCTCATAGCTGCTGGAAGTTGGGGGTTGGGACCCAAGAGTGTTGGGTTTCCTGGCATGTGACTCTGGGCCCCAGGTATCAGATACCTGAGCCATGGCCTGGCTAGACGATGCCAAGAGAGGGCAGATCCTGGACCCTGATGAACTCTGCCTGGGGAGGCCAGGCGCCATTTCCATTCCCTGCCCCGGGCTCCCCTCCCATGACCTGCTGCTGTCATCTTCCATCCCTCCCTTCTCAGCCGGCGAGGAGAGCCTTCTGTTACCCAGAGCCTGACCCAGCAGAAGGATTCTCGCTTGGCAGACGTACGGGCAAAACTGGGTGGGCTCAATCTCACATCCATTGCCTCCAGCTTCCCCTAGCCCCACCCCTCCCTCCACTCTCCTGCACTCTGGAGCAACCTGTCTCAGCCTTTTCCTGGGAAAACTCGTCTCACCCTGGAGGACCTCGTTTTCTGCTCCTCACAGGGTGCCCAGCCCTCTTACCTGGCAAGGGGCATGGTGGTTCCATTTTAGTTTGTTCTCTGCACTGTTGGTAGATGGCCCCTCTAGGAGGTGGAAGGGGTTCTGCAAGGTGCCCAACGTCAGATACGGTTGTCTACAAGTTGTCCTGCCAATTTTATGTTCTGGATTGCAGCTGACTCCGGTTCCCTCACTTTGTTGGGACACTAGGTTCCAAAGTTGGTACTTCTAACTCTCTGTCACGCCTGAGAGCCAAGGAGGGCTGGGACACCATTCCCCAGGGCCTCTTGATCCCACCCGTCATGTGCAGCCCAAGCCACCGAGTTACATCACCGTCCCCTGAGGCTCACGGGGTTAGTGGAAGCGTTGGGTACCACAGAGATCTGCACAGAGGAGGCTGCGGTCCTATGCTGTGGAGCGCTCCCTGAGAAGGAAAACCTTGCTGGATTTCGTAAGAGACCCTGCGTGACCAGGATCGGACACGATGCAGGACCCAGTGCAAAACGAAAATGGGGCCTTGTGTTCCAAGACTGTCCCGAATGTCACGATAGCCACCGCAGATGGCAAAACCAAGTGCAGGGCCCTTCTGAGCACAAGGTGTGGTGTCCTGGGCAACTGCACAGGTCACATGCCCACAGAGCTGGCCTTGTGCAGGTGACCTTTGACCAGGGGACAGAATCAGACGGAAGGATATCGGATGATGTCATCTCTGTAGATGATGTACTGACCACTGACTCATTCTTGTGACATCGACAGGGCATGTCTCACACTCACAGTTGTCCGAGGAATCAGGGAAGCTACGTCGTCTGCCTTTGGGCGGGAGAAGCAAAACGTTTGTCTGTGGGTTGCTTGTCGGTTAGCCCAGGCGCTGTGCCATTGAATGGATACTGCAGAGTCCATTTCGGAATTGTAGCTGCATGTGGACGAGCAAGCATGTGGAAAGCTACCCCTCCCACTGCTCTTCTCTCACACTGGGCAGGGTGGGTAGCTCAGGCACAAGAGCTGAGCCTGGCTGCTGATGGAGAGAGCTGCCTCCTTCTCAGACTAAGGCGGCTGCCAGGAAAAGTTGGTACCCGGATGCCCAGCTGTAGCAGCTATAGGAGCAGCGGTCTGTGCACACAGGAGAGACCACCCAGAGCATGGATGTGGTTAACGGAGGGCGGCTAAGTGCAGTGCTCAGGGTGAAAGGGAGGCCTGAGAGGAAGGAGGAACCACACCACAAGGGTTGACAAGGTTGGAGGAGAAATCCTCTCTGTCTTTCATTTGGGGAGGATTTGCTGTAAGCCCCATGTTTCAAGCACTGTGTATATCGAAGGATATACAGTTCTTAAGGTCCCAGATCTATAGCTGTGGCTAACCCAGCCTGCACATTAGAATCCCTGGGGGGGGGGGGGGAAGAGTAGCTTTCAAAAATTAATTCTACCTGGGTTTCATGTGGACCAATTAAATTAAAACTTCTGTGAATGGGGCCTAGGCACTGGTATTTTTCAAAAGCTCCCTGGTGTCCTAACCAGTTTGTCTCAGTGGATGGAGCATTGGCCTGTGGACTTAAAGGTCCCAGGTTTGATTCCAGTCAAGGGCATGTACCTTGGTTTTGGGCACATCTCCAATAGGAGGTGTGCAAGAGGCAGCTGATAGATGTTTCTCTCGATCCCTCTTCCTTCCTCTCTATAAAAAATCAATATATATATATATATATATATATATATATATATATATATATATATATATAAAGCTCCCTGGGTATCTCTAACTAGAGGCCTGGTGCAAGAATTCACGCACAGGTGGGGTCAGGCTGGCCTGCCCCAAAGGGGCCATGGGAAGTTGTTCCATCGTTCCAGTCGCTGATTTTTATATACATAGATGTGCAGCCTGAGATGAGAATTGCTGGTCTGAGGAAGACATGGACATATGGACCCTTGTCTCCACAAAGCCTTAATGTGATTGCTGTGTAACCGATGTGTATATGGAAGCTTTGACACTCAGAGAGAATAAATCTCTGGGGTAGAATCTGCTGGCTCTCTACTTGGTATTGTAGGGAGGCAACATTTTACCTCTACCCCCTTGGGGCTTTTCAGCCAGGCCTGAGAATTAACCTGACAGACAGATTAACAGGTGAAAAGCATACATATTTACATACCTTTTACATGATGTGAGAGCCGTAAGACAGTGAAAACCCAAAGAAATGGAAGAACATAAATACTTTTGTCTTAGGCTGAATAAAGAGAGGCAATTGTAGAAAAGTAACTAAACTATACAAGGCTAGAGGAAGATTAGAGTTATTTGAACAAGGTCTGTTTGTGTCGAGTTCTCTGGGCTTTGACTCCCCAGTACAGGGAGAGCGTCTTTCGCATGGTAGTTTCTGTCTCCTGTTCTTTTGGAAGAAAATAGGAGAAAGGAATGCTCTTCTGGTGTCTGTTTTTTTTTTTTTTGTTTGTTTGTTTTGTGTGTGTGTGTGTGTGTGTGTGTGTGTGTGTGTTTTAATGTGCCTTTAGCTCAAAACAATCCTTATGCCTAAATGGCGTATTTTGGGGTGGCCTATTCTGTCACCCTTCAGTATCCGTTCCTTACCTCCTCCTTTGATGACATGTGCTGATTTTGGGGTAGCAATGTACTCAGTCTGTCCTGAGAGAGCCTGATTGGTCCTTTCAGTTTATTAGAAATCCTGTTGCCCACTTTTCCCAGTCACCCTTGCAGCTGGGGTGGACCAATTCTGATCAATAATATCTAAGTGGAAGTCTGCTCAAGAGATTTCCTAGACTTTCTTTGATTCACTCATAAAAGAGGTTGGGCTGGCTTGGCTGGTGTGACTCAGTGGTTAAGTGTCGACCTATGAGCCAGGAAGTCATAGTTCAATTCCCCGGTCAGGGAACATGCCTTGGTTACAGGCTTGGTCCCCAGAAGAGGATGTGTAGGAAGCAGGCAATCAATGACTCTCATCATTGATGTTTCTATCTCTCTCTCCCTCTCCCTTCCTCTCTGAAATTAAAAAAATAAAAATAAAAAAAAATACATATAAAGAGCATGGTCTGAGCCCTCCCCTTCTCCCTACAGCTCTCTCCCTGCTTTGGACACGCAGGGTCAACTATGGCCATCTGTGACCTTGGGGCAATTAAAACAGAAAGAAAAGGCCAGGAGCATCATGGAGATATTGGCCTGGATATCACTGAACCACTCAACCAACACCAGCAACCACCTACCACTGGACTCATTAAAAGTAAACCCCTGCTTCAGTGCTTCTGAACGTGGCTGCACATTAGAATATGTGAGGTTTTGAAAAAACACTGATGTCTGGGTCCACCACAGAGATTCTGATTAAATTAATTTTGCATGCTCCTGGGGAAGGACTGTTAAAACCTCCTTAGATGAGTAATGGCACCAGGGTCAGACTCATTCCTTTGCTTGGCATTTTCTGTTGCTTTCAGTTGACATCATTCTTATCTGATACGACTAACTTTTCCAGGCTAACAGGGAAGGCTTCACCAGGAGTGACATTTGAGCTGGGTGGTTAAGGTCGAGTTCATGAGCTGGAACATGTGCAAGAGCAAGGGAGCATGAGAAGGCCTGTCTTCTCTAGATTGTAGAGGGAGCGGTGGGCATGGTAGAGGCTATGGTTAAACTGGAAATGGATCGGGTGCTTGTGGCCTTGTATATACCATATAAGAATTGGAACTTGGTTTAGTAGCTGATGGGTGGATTTTAAAATTAGTTTTTTTTGTGTGTGTGTTTTTTTTTGTCACTTTGCTAGCTGTGTGGAGAATGTGTACATATATAATTTTAAAAAATATTTTTAGCCCTAACCGGTTTGGCTCAGTGGATAGAGCGTCAGCCTGCGGACTGAAAGGTCCCAGGTTCAATTCCCGTCAAGGGCATGTACCTTGGTTGCAGGCACATCCCCAATGAGGGGTGTGCAAGAGGCAGCTGATCAATGTGTCTCTTTCATTGATGTTTCTAACTCTCTATCCTTCTCCCTTCCTCTCTGTAAAAAAATCAATAAAATATATTTAAAAAAATATATTTTTATTGATTTCAGAGAGTGCCTGCATGGAAGCCATGGTGTGGGACTGAAGGAGCCATGAATCGATGTTCCATTCTTGGCCATGACCTGTGGGGCGCACAGGAAAACTCATGGGCCAGGCTCAAGACCATCCGACATTTGTGCCACTGGGTACATCCTTCCCCAAATCCCCGTGGCCTTTGGTTCTCTGGACCTCACAGTCTCTGAGATCCCTAATAACCTGATGATGTCAATGTGCCTATGTTGGTGGGGCAGGGGAGAGGCTGAGGCATGGCAAGCCTGGCTTCCAAGTTCAGGGCCCAGGAAAGTGATTCATCCTGGGTGGGGTGAATCACAGCTTCTCACTTCCAGGGCAATAATTTCATGTCCCAAAGGTGTGACCTTGGAGAAGAGGAATTCAGCAGGCCTCCAGGCCCCTGCCTGCCTGATGTAGCCCCCGATCCAGACTGGAGAGAGGGGCATAGTGAAAGGAAAGGAGGAGAGCCAGCTACTTTACCTAACAGTTAGCCAGGTGTACAACTAATGCCAATGTTCTGTGCAGTTTCCGTTCGCGGGGCAGCTAGGGCCTCTGCTGTTCCTGTTTCTTGTGGAAAATGGCAAAGCATTTACACACCTCATGCTCCCATCCTCGGATGTACTCTCTCAGTTGTTCAATGCACTCCTGGCCCTCTGAGGCACTGGGGATGCAGAGGGAGCTAAAACGCTCCCTGCACAATGCGGGGAGACAGACTTGTGCACAGATACGGCCACCTGATAGCCTATGGGAGGGTTCTATGATGTGTCAACAGGAGCCCGAGGAGCCCAAAGCACGAAGCAGCGGACTCTGCCCGCACAGTTGGGGAAGGCTTCACAGAGAAGGTGACAGGTGAGCAAGGCCTTGAGGGATGAACAGGAGAGACAAGAGCAAGTCGGAGCAAGGCATGTTCTGAGAGAGGAGCTCAGTGGAGCTGTAGTCTTGGATGAGTGTGGGAGTTACCTCCTCCAGGTAACATCTACTGAGCATCCACCATGCACAGGAAATGCGAGTGTGAATAAGACTCGGAGCAAGCACCCTCTCAAGGGAAGTGGATGCGTAATCCGTCACTCAGATAGAGCACCCTCAGGGCAGGAGAGGTCTTTCCGAGGCACCTATGGAGACAGAAGGAATGACTTTTTGGAAGAAATGCCACTTCCCAGCTGTGGGACCTTGGGCAAAATAGTTCAACTCTCTGCCCTGCAGTTTTGTCGTTTGTTAAGCGGGGAGAGTAGAAATACCTACTTCCCAGGGCTGTGTGAAAGTTTGCACATGTAGAGCCTCTTGGGCGGTCCCTGGAACACAGCAAGTGCTAGTGCCATGGGCTGTGATTGCTACGGAAAGGAGTGGGCGTCAGGCAGGGGAAGAAGGGCCGGCTAGGCATGCAGTGGGCAGGGCACCGGGAACCTTTTCTGAAAGCGCCTGTTTTCTAGGTACTGCCCTTTCGAGCTGTAATATTACGTGTTCTAAGCTGTCTGTGCCCCTCTAGGAGAACATATCAATTACCCACATCGGAGAAAATACAGCTTATTTTGCAATATATTTGGATCACAAAGAGCAGCAGCTGCTCTTGTTCCAGAGGAAGGTTCTGGTTCCCAGGCCTTGGCTCTGGCCCTGGAGGCCCTGTCTGGCTCAGCCTCTTTCCTCTGCAGCCCAAAATAGCCAACCACAGGGCTGGGCGAAGGGAGGAGAGGGAGTGCCCACTGGCACTGGTACCATCCCTGCCCCTCCCCCACCCCCCACCAGTTCAGTAGCTCTCACTCAGTGCTATCTGCTTAGCATCATGCCCTCCTCTTCACCTCGGCCCCCACCCAAACAAAAACACAACGACTGCCAACACAATAAAGTTGTTTGTTTGTTTTTCTTCCTTGCATTTGCTCTGGAAGAGACCTCAACACCTCCCCCAGGAAGGAGCCGGGGGCTGAGGGAGACCGGAAATGAATTGAAGGGAGGAGGGGTAGTCACAGGGGTACCGTTCTTTCCCCCAGAGGTGTGTGTCGGGGGAGAGAGCTCTGTTTCTTACACCCCACCTCCTCACTTCCCACCACCGCCGCCATCACCCTGGAATGCGTTCCCAGTTTATCTCCCGCCCATGTTTGCTATCTCTGCCCACATGGGTGTATCTATGGCAAGCAGAGGCCATGCCACCCCGCCAGATGGAAACACCCCAGGGCTGGGAAAGGCAGCTGTCTCAGCGGTCTCAGGCACTTGCAAGAGGACAAGGGGAGCCCGGGAAGGCAGCTCACTCTGCTTTCAAAACACAAATACATTTCATAAAAAACTTAAAGCTGGCAAGCTCACGTTACACAAAGTTTGAAACCAGAGAATGAAAAAGATCACCCCAAATCTCTCCCTCCTAACACAAGACCTGTTTTTATTTTGTTGAATTTCCACAGGCCCGTGAAGTAGATGCTCAGATATCATTTAAATGTGGAATGGATTAATACGAGGCAACACATATAGAGAACAATCGCCAGGAATTGTTGCGAATGCTTACAGTTGTGGACCCATTTCATCTTCACAACAACATGAGGTTGGCAATGTAGCGATGGTCACCATCTCCACTGGGAAATGAGGTAACGGAAGCACAGAGAGGCTCCGTGAGCTGCCTAAGGACACACAGCTGGTAACTACAGGAGCAGGAAGTGGAACTCAGGCAGTCTGGTGCCAGGATCTCACCAAACACTTTATTTTTTAACACCACAGTGGTTAATGCATGTGCAGGCTTACTACAACTTCTTATGGTCCATTTCCAACGTGAAGAAGCAGCTAAAATGATATAAGCAATCTCATATCCCCATCACTCCGTTCTTATCGTAATCACTTCATGGCCCATCTTGTTTCTTTTATTTCTCCACATCCCTCGCCCAGAGTATTTTGAAGCAATTTCAGTCATCCTATCATTTCATCCACATACATTTTAGTATATATCTCCAGAAGATAAGGGGGATTTTTTTCTTTTAAAAATTATCACAATACCATATCGTGCCCATATCTGGACACAGACAATAGTATGGTGAAGGCGTTGAGGTGGGGGCTGGCTGGAAGGGGCAAAAGGGGGCAAAATGGAGGACATATATAATACTGTCAACAATAAACAAAAAATTTAAGTGCCTTAATATCAATTTGAATAGTCAGTGTTCAAATTTCTCTGATAATTTAATATTTTTAAAAATAATGTTAGTTTGCTTAAATCAGGATCCAAATATATTGCTTAATTTATTTTCATCTGTAAGTCTCTCCCTCTACTATGTTTCTTCCAACTTATTTGTTAAGGGAATTGGGTGTTTTCCCAAGTCATTCTTTTTCTAGATTTTTCTGGCTGTAGCCCTGGGGAATGCTCATGCTATTTTTTCCTGATCTTTTCATATAACCTAGCATTTTCCCACACTGCCACATTGTTTTCACAACCACTTACTACATGGCTTCATACTATTCCATCCAATGGATATACTATTTTTCTTGGGCATTTAGGTTGCTTTTGGTTTTCCACTATTATGCATAATGCTGGAGGGGGTAGTTCAGTTGGTTAGAGCCACGATTGTGGGTTTGATCCCTAGTCAGAGTACATACAAGAATCAACCAATGAATGTGTAAATAAGAGGAACAACAAATTGATCTCTCTCTCTCTCTCTCTCTCTGTCTCTCTCATTTTTCCTCTCTTTCTCTAAAAATTAATAAATAAAATAAATAATGCTGGAATGAACCTCCTCACATATAGTAAGTTCCAGGGGTGCTACTGGAAATGCAATTCTGAGGCCTGAACAATTTTTCAGCCTCTTGGCCCATATTACCAATTATTTGTCCAAGGGGGTGTGCATTCCCCAGCACCACATGAGTGCTGCCACTCATCCTGCACAGTACTTAGGCCTATTCATTGCTCAAGGTTGTTTGGTGAAGACAGGGTAATTATGAGGGCAGAGAGCTGCAGAAGGAGAAGAATGATGACAGGGACTCGGACTACATTAAGCAGAAAGTGATGCACCATTTACCACAAACCTAGAGTGAGTCAGAACTCTATTCATTTCTATTGTGAAAAAAAACACCTTGATAATAGGAGTTATTAATAGGGCATGGCACGTCCAGTTATCTTTCCGTTAGACTATGCATTAGTCAGAACCTTATTTGAGATGTGGGTCCAGTCGAGGTCAGTGAACTTCACTGGCAAAGACATAGACAACTTGATGGAGGTTGGAAGAATCCCAGAGAGAAGTCAAAGTACTCAAGTAGGCTCCAATTTGTCTCTGTGTGTGGAAATATATATATATATATATATATATATATATATATATATACACACACACACACACACACACACACACACACACACACACACACACACATATATATATATTTATTCAACCTGTGCATGAATTTGAGTCCGGCCAGCCTGGCCAGGGGGAGGGAACATGGGCGGTTGGCTGGCCTGCTGCTGGTGGAACTCTTGGTCAAGGGGACAATTTGCATATTAGCTTTTTATTATATAGGATGTACACTGAGGGGCCAGATTACCATGCATTCAGAGATCATAATAATCTGGCCACTCCGTGTATATCCTCAATGTTCTGGAGGTTTCTGTGGGGAAGACAATGCTCAGTCGTTGGCTTACGTCTTCAGAAGGCGGTCTGTAAGGAAAGGGGCCTCCAGGAACCAGGAGAAAACTTCTGTAGGACACAGGGAAGAACCTTTTCGGTTTCCAGGGTGATTATTTAGCCTTGGGACGAGTGCTCTAGGGCCACTGGCCCTGGCAATATTTGAGAAGCAGCCTGTTCTCCTGCCCCGAGTGCCTCAGATATGCACCTGCTCAGTGCCCACTAGGTGCTCCCCGGCCCCACTCCAGGTCTGTGACATCTGCTTCCTGGCAGCCCTCTGGAGAGGGGTAGGTGAGGTCTGAAAGGAGTGCTCCCCAGACTGCCTGGGCCAGCCTCCTCCTTCTGTCCCCTCACATTCACTTCAGTGTGTGTCCATAGCCAGTCTGGTTGGCATGTCATGACGTCATCTGATCCTGCTGTTCCAGCCTGCCATGCACAGTGAACTCAAAAAGAAGCTGGGCAGGGCTAGTGGAAACTACTCAAACAAGGCCCTCTTGGTGACTCAGGAGACCTCAAGAGCCATTTAGTTCAACCTCCTACAGAAATAGCTTTCTACAGTGCAACAGATGCTTTACATACATTCTTTTGAATTTGCACAACGTTGGAGGGAAGGTTTCCCAAGTGTGGAGTTAGAGACTGAGACAAGTTATTTGCTAGTAGAGGAGTGCCTGCTGAGTCTACATGGCAGTAAAATCTGTGTCCTTGTATGCAGATGTGAACACTGCAAGTCAGAGAGCTGGAGCCTCCCACCCAAAGCCACACATGCCAACCTGGGACTGGAATTAAGGGTCCTAACTATTCTTCAAGGAATCCTCCCAAGACAGGCATCCTCTTCTGTCGTTTAACGTGGGAGGTCAAGGATGTGGCCTCGCCCGGGCCAGCCTGAGCCACCTGTAACTGAGCAGCCAGGCTCCGGACAAATGCTGCCCACAGGCCGCGCTCTCGGCTCTCCAAACTCTCGTCTAAGCCCGCTTCCAGTAAGACGGAAAGGGACAAAGGGCTGGGCTAGTCCGATTCTGGAGGAGCCACTCTGGGGCCAGGGTGGAGGCAGCGAGGTGTTATTGAAAAACTCTGACCTGAGATCAAGTTCTGGCTTGGGGCCCAGCAAGTCACTTAAAACTCCGAGTTTCCTCATCTGCAAAATGGGGGATGTGTGTAAACTGCACTTAAAGCGGGCACGAACGCAAAAGCAGTTATTCTGCCCCAAAGCAATACCATCTGATCTTTGCATTACGTTCTAGGGAATCGTCCGAGGGGCCTCGCCAAGAGAAGGTGGGCGCCGGGAAGGAGACTACAAGTCCCAGGTGGCGTCGGGAGGGCCGGTACGAGGGCAGGGAAAGAAACTACAACTCCCAGGAGGCACCGGGCAGGTCGGCGCTGGGCGGTGACGCCACGAGGGCCGGCGCGGGGCGCTGATTCGGCCGGAGGGCCAGCGGGGTGGCTACCGCCGCGGGTTGTTCCTAAAGCAGCGGCCCCCGCCCCCCGGCACCTCTCGCGGGCCCTCGAGGGCCCTAGACCCCCGGCCCCGCACGGTGAGTCCGATTAGGCGGCCCGGGTGGCCGAACTGGGAGGCTCCTGGTGCTCGAGGTGGGGCGAGCTGCAGGGGAGGCGCCCCGAGCTGGAGGGGGCCGCGGCCGGGCGCACACGGAGGTGGGGGCGTGCGTCTGCCCGCGGGATACCCAAAGGCGACCGTGGGGGCGGAGGCCGGGGGTGGAGCGTGGGGAGGAGCGCCGGAGCTCCGGCTCGCGGTGAGGGGCCCGGGGCGGCTGGCTGGGCTTCGGGGATGAAGGTTTGGCCGCTTCCAGGGCTGGGTGGACGCGTGGAGGTGGGGGTGAGGCTCCGGACCCGGCCAGGCTCCGAGTGCGAGGTCCCGGGCTGGGGAGCGGAGCGGGAGGTCCCCCATTCGGTTTGAGGTCGCACTCAGAAAACCCAAACAATAGTGAGGACCCCGCCTCTGTGCTTCACCTTCTCCCCGGGAGAGTAGAGGGTTCGCCCCAGGATTCGCCGCCTTTCCTTTCCCACCGCCCTCCGGAGCCCGGGAGGCAGGGCCCGAGCTAAGAGGTAAGCGACGGTGGTGAGGGGTGGGCAGAGAGAAAATGGCATTGTGGCGTGCTGCCAGCGACTCCCCTTTGGGGTCCATTTGCAGGCTTAGGTGTTTTGTGCTCCTCACCTCGAAGGGAAAAGGTTTGCGCTTAAAGGGCTGCCCCACTTGAGCGAGAGAATGGGCATTGCTCACCTGGCAGCTGCCCTGGGACACGCTATGGTCTTGGCTTAGGTGTTTGACAGACGCGCCGGGCAGGCGTGTTTGTGTGTGGAGTCGGGGGGAGGGGAGGGAAGTAGTGGCGAAGAGCTACCAGCAAGAAAGTAGTTAACAACAGAGTTGCTGGAGGCTCTGGTTTGGGGCAGGTTATGAAACCACTTCAGGGGCTGGCACGGGCGGCCACCTGCCAGCTGTGGCCGGGGAACTTTTCAGCCTCAGCTGCTGAGGACTTGCTTCTCCTCTGCCAGCTTCTTCTCCCTGGCATCTCTCCTTCTGGGCTGGGGGCAACTGGTTAGTGTACAAAGGGAAGTGAATGTACCCCGAGCCGCACACAAGGCTCCACAAGAGTGCTTCCTGGCTGCCGATCGTTTTCTCAGGTTATTGATCGGGCCTGTCTTTTTGGGAGGCTGTGGATCTCCTGGGATTCCTGTTCTCAGGGCAGACGGTGTTCAGGTTCAGGAAGAAGCTTTCCAGAGTGTCCGTTAGGCCCTAAGTGCAGGCCCCTCCTAAGCTCATCGGACTTCATCGGATGCCCAGTTCCAGCCAGAAAGGGATGTAGAATGAGCTGGGATTCAGTAAGACTCCTGGCGCTCCTGGACAAAATGCCAGAGAGGGCTAGGGGTCTCTGCTTCTACACCTTGGAGGTCCAGGTAGGGGAGTAGGGGGGAGGGGCAGCAGCAACTGGTGGACTTGGGAAGTGCTTCTCTTTCCTTAGTAAGTCCTTCAGAGCCTTCACTTCCTAGCCAGCCCCAATCTCTCTCCACCTAACACCCCCCCCCCCCCCCCCAGGTGGAGGCTTTTGCATAGTTGGTTCCCAGGAGCTGTGTTAGGGTAGCTGAAGCCCCAAGCCCCTGGGAAGGTAAACAACTGAGCCAGTCCAGGTTTTCTAGTTCCCTGGACTTCCGCTGGGCCCAATTAGCCTGCCTAATGCTGAGGTGATGGGCCCCAGGAGCGTCGATTCCTCTAGGACAGTGTTTTTCAACCTTTTTTGGGCAAAGGCACACTTGTTTCATGAAAAAAATCACAAGGCACACCACCATTAGAAAATGTTAAAAAATTTAACTCTGTGCCTATATTGACTATATATAAAGTAATTCTCTTGAATAGGAATCAAATAAACACAAAGAAAGTATTTTATAATTACTTTATTATGAAATATTAAGTAAACAAAATAGTGAAAAATTATAAAATTCTTGTCTTGTCTGCACCTATGGCACACCAGGCAACATCTCAGTGTGCCGCGGAACAGCGGTTGAAAAACGCTGCTCTAGGATGCACCCTGGGTCATCTCACGTATGTTTGCACATCGGAGAGGTGGGTTGTGTGTCCCATTTCCCCTGAGGTCTCTAAGCTTCGAGTTGTCTGAGAAGGGGAAACTTGTTCCCATTATCCTGGACCTGAGGAACCAATCCTCGAGAATTCTGGTGCCAATGCAGGCTTGGCCATGATCCAGTCAGAGATTGATTGCAACTGAGTTTGAAGGGGTTCGTTGGAGCAGGGTTAGGGTGTGGCCTTCTGGGCACTTCCAGGACACCCCCACCTGGGACCCCGTTCTGTGTCCCCAGGAAAGATGGGGCTGTAACCATGGTGATGACCTTAGGTCTCTATCAGGCGGGACCCTCCCTCAGCTCCGGAGGTGAGCCAGTACAAAGGCACCATCTGTTCCACCTCCTGCTGGTCACAGGGCCCTCAGGGATCTGGGGACAGCGGAGCTCTGGACAGGGACTGCTCCTTCCCTTCATCCAGGAAGGCAGCTGAGCTTCTTGGTCACCTGGGCACCAAGGGCAGTCCTCCTGGTTCCTGGTGCTGCATGCTTCTGCCATCAGGGCTGGGCCAGGGAAGGCACGTGCTCCTAACACCTGGAAATAGGTGGTGGGAACGGAAGCGGAAGTGAGGGTGGGTGGGTAAGGGAAGGAGCAGGAGAGAGGCCGCAGGTAGGTTTGGTGACATTGAGAGGGGATGTTGATGTGGATTCCAGCTGCTGCGGGAGCTGTGGCTGTTGGCTGTGTTCTCTGTCCTCGCCTCTCTGGTGGGGAAAAGGCCGTGTTGGTTTGGCAGCAGAGGGGGTGGTATCACGAGGGTTAGCCTGAGCTGCTGCCAAATGGATAAAACATCTGATTGGGCTGTTCTGTGTCACCAAGAAGGAGGCTTCCAGGTCTGGGCAAAGGTTGATCCCAGTCTGTCATTTTCCCTTTTTTTCTCTCTCACCTCTTTTTTTTTTTTTTTTTTTTTAAATATATTTTATTGATTTTTTTACAGAGAGGAAGGGAGAAGGATAGAGAGATAGAAACATTGATGGGAGAGAAACATCAATCAGCTGCCTCCTGCACACCCCCTATGGAGGGTGTGCCCACAACCCAGGCACATGCCCCTGACCGGAATCGAACCCGGGACCCTTGAGTCCGCAGGCCAACGCTCTGTCCACTGAGCCAAACCGGTTTGGCACTCTCCCGCCCCCTTTTTATCCTGTTAGTCCCCCTGGGTCTGGATTGTAGACCCAGTATTGGAGAATTAGGGGAGCTGGGTAGAAGCAATGACCCCCTCCTCCCAAATATTTCATCCAATGATCTCCTTGCCTCTTTTTATCCCATCTGATGAGGGAAGTGGGAAAGGGTTAGATGTCCATATCAGCCCTCATGAGAGCCCAGCAGGATTTGTGCTGAGTGATTCTTAGGGTACAGGCTTTGTGGGAAGAGGGCTCTGGTGAGAACGCTCCGGAGGATGAGAGGATGAGACAGGGGCAGTGGTTTCTTTGCTCTGGGGCTGGATGCTTCCTGACCTGTCCACCAGGCGGTCTGTGGGTGATGGATGGTACTTATCCCATCCCAGCACTTGGGAAATGTGTAAGTTAAGACTTTCTCTGGCTTCCTTGTTTATGAACCAAAACGGTAGAACTGCCTGGAGCTCTTGGGGAGAGCAGGGTTTGGAGGGGGGGGAGGGGCAGAGGAAGCGGGGTGACCTGTCTCACCTGTGCTGCGGCTTGCAGAGCAGCGGCAGGAGGTGCAGCAGGATGAACGTGGGCACGGCGCACAGCGAGGTGAACCCCAACACCCGGGTGATGAACAGCCGCGGCATCTGGCTCTCCTACGTGCTGGCCATCGGGCTCCTCCACGTCGTGCTGCTCAGCATCCCCTTCGTGAGCGTCCCTGTCGTCTGGACCCTCACCAACCTCATCCACAACATGGTGAGGGCCTGCCTGCCGCCCGCCGGCCGTGGGAGCTGCCCTTGGCGGGACTGAGGAGCACAAGGGGGCCCCGAAGGCAGGGTGACATCTGATAACCTCTGTCACCGCCGTCCAGACCAAGCTCTCATCTCTGACCCACTCCCCCTCCTGAGTTCCCTTCCTGTGCACTCCAGTAAGAGGACTAAAATCTGTAGATTTGTCCCATCTCCAGGATGGGGTAGTTTGTGGACCATCGAGAGCTGAACTATGAGTCCCAAAGGGCCCCCGGGACCCAGGTGCCAGTCTGGAGCAGAAATGCCCCTTTCCCAATTGACGGTCTCACATCTCTTGCCTCTCTTTGCTCTCTCACCACCTGCCTGCTACCTTTCACTCTTTTTAAAAATATATATATTTTATTGATTTTTTTACAGAGAGGAAGGGAGAGGGATAGAGAGTTAGAAACATCGATGAGAGAGAATCATCGACCAGCTGCCTCCTGCACACCCCCCACTGGGGATGCGCCTGCAACCAAGGCACATGCCCTGGACCGGAATCGAACCTGGGACCGTTGAGTCTGCAGGCCGATGCTCTATCCACTGAGCCACACCGGTTAGGGCTACCTTTCACTCTTTGTGGCGAGGCAGGGGCCCAGTTCCTTCCCATCAGCTTGTCCCCTCCCAGCTGGCACAGGCCTGCCCTCTCACCCTATTCTCCTGCCAGGCTCCGGGTCCGGCTGCTTCACCCTGACTTCCAGCCCCATGCCCCGCACAGAGGGAGGCGCAGGCCACCGGAGCCCACTTCTGTGCCGGTGGAGGAGCTGAGCCGGAGGGCCTGTGCCTTTTGTGTCCTCTGATGCAAGCCTCTCCCTCCAGGGCATGTACATCTTCCTGCACACGGTGAAGGGGACACCCTTCGAGACCCCGGACCAGGGCAAGGCAAGGCTGCTGACCCACTGGGAGCAGATGGACTACGGGGTTCAATTCACAGCGTCGCGGAAGTTCCTGACCATCACCCCCATTGTGCTGTGAGTGTCCTGGACAGCGGAGGGTGCTGGTAGGCGGGCCAAGGCCCCGGGGGACTCTGGGGCCCCACCAGGTCTGAAGCCCCCGAGTTTGACTCTTAGTGGGGGAATGGAGAAAGGAAGTCGGAGCATCCCTGGCCATGTGCTGGGCTCAGGCCTTGTGCCTCCCTGACCCTTTTTTTTTTTCTTTTTAAAAAAATACATTTTATTGATTTTTCTTACAGAGAGGAAGGGAAAGGAATAGAAAGTTAGAAATATCCATGAGAGAGTAACATTGATCAGCTGCCTCCTGCACACCCCCTACCGGGGATGTGCCCGCAACCCAGGTACATGCCCTTGACCGGAATCGAACCCGGGACCGTTGAGTCCACAGGCCGACGCTCTATCCGTTGAGCCAAACCGGTTTCGGCTCCCTGACCCATTTTTCATGTGGGGTTTCCTTCCTGCCAGTGAGGTAGGCCCACAGGCCTGGGGGACAGCAAGGGAACTGAGTTGGGAGGGGTATCTTTATTTGGGGAGACCTTGCCATCTTCTGTCCTGGGGGCCTTCCCCGTAACTTCTCAGCTGTCAGGAATTTGCCTCTCCCCACCAGGGAGTGAGGGAGGAAGGGTCCTTCAAACAAAGGCTCACACCTCTCCTTAACTTTTCCCGCAGTTACTTTCTCACCAGCTTCTACACCAAGTACGACCAGATCCATTTCGTCGTCAACACTGTGTCTTTGATGAGCGTGCTCATCCCCAAGCTGCCCCAGCTCCACGGAGTCCGGATTTTTGGAATCAATAAGTACTGAGGAGAGAGCCTCTTTCCCTGACCAGATGGCGGGAGAGCGGTGGAAGCTGTGCTGTGTTGCTGAAGACAGGAGTCTCCGGAGACTGCCAGAGCTGGGGGCTGAGCCTCCGGGCCGTTCCCCCTCACTTCCCCCGGTAGCCGACTTGAAGTAGCTTGTAGCCGGGTTGGGGTGGGACCTCCCCCCCACCCCTCATCCCCCGGACTCTGACCGTCTGATTTTTTGAGAATCTTTTTCTTTTGCCTTTTGGATAGAGACTCTGAGGGGGTGGTCATGGCATGAGCTGGGCTCCAGGCTGAACACAGACCTGTGAGCCTGGGACAAGAGGCCAGGGAAACCCCCTGCTCACTTGCTCATTCTCAGACCGCTGAAGCACTTTAACCCCCGTGAGGGTACGGTACAGCCTCTAGATTGTTCCACTTTAGTTCTCACGTCGTTAGGATGACTCGCAGTGTGTGCTTGTATTTATGAAAGCCAGTGGGCGATGGCGCCTCATCCCTCTGGTGAGAACGTCTAATCGAAGCCTCATGCTTCTGTCAACTCCCCTACAGCCCCCCCGGGGAGAGGGTGGGAGTGGGGAGGTAAGGAGAGGGATGGAGGGGCTGGGCATGGACGGCCTGGTGAGTTGAGATTCAGACAAAGGGGGTCACATAGCAGCAGAGATTGGTGGGAGGGAGGGAAGGGGGGAACAGAAGCTAGACGTCATTCTTTGGAAAGTGGTCAGAGGGGCCCCTGCACGCTCGGAGAGTTAGTGTCCCCATGGCGTGAGGGTGGAGAGACGAAGGGAGGCTGCGGTGGGTTTGGAGCTCCGGGGCCGGTGTGATGGGGTGGAGATGGTGTAAGAGGCTATTACATCGTTAAAGCACAGGCCCAGGTGGACACTGCTGGCGCAATATTGTGAAGGGGCGGGGACACGGACAGAAATGACGAACGGTGCGGCCCTTCACCTCACAGCCTCTCTGTGTAGGCGGGCACTGGGCAGGGCCTCTCGTGTGACATGTGGGGCTATTGAGGCCACCCCAGGCGGGTCAGTGGGCTCAGAGTCCTGCCTGGGCCCTGCTGGTGCAGGGAAGGAGTGAGGAGGGGCAAGCGCTGTCTCCTCACTCCGAGGGCAGAGAGGTGGGCAGGAGCTGCCTTCTCCTTCCCCAGTCTCACTGGGGTCTGTGTTGCTTTGAAAAGGTCTGGGTTCCCCCTCCCAGGGCCCTGAGGAACGAGGGCAGGTCATTGGCTGTTTTCTGCCTCTTGGGCCCCCAGCCCCCACCCCATGTATCATAGGGAACTTTCACCTCAAAATCTTTCTAAGCAAAGTGTGAATAGGATTTTTACTCCCTTTGTACAGTATTCTGAGAAATGCAAATAAAGGACTACGTGTTCCTGAGTCTGGCCTCTGCTTCCTAGAGAGCCCTGGGGCGGGGCGGGGGAGGGGGCCACAGCCCCTGCTGAGGGCAGTGGGAGCCTGGGGTGGGCCATCCGCCTGGGTGGGGAAGGGGCCCTGGGACTGCTGCTCTCCCTGCGGTCGGTCCCCAGCAGAGCCGGGAGCTGTGAGGGGACAAAGCAGCCGCAGGTTGAGAGAACTCTGTCTGTGACTGGCTGTTGGAACCTCGCGAAGGAACTTCCAGACCCCACAGGCTGGGCTGGCAGAGAGACGGGGTACGCCATGGCCAGGGAGGAGGTCAGTCCAGCAACAATGGCTTTAGGAATGAAGCCAGAGTCCGAGGTGTGCCCCATCTTTTCCTCTGAACGCCTTCCCCGTTCTGACTCCTCCCTCTCTGGGGGGCTCCCCCTCCTCCTGGCCTTTGTGTCTCAGAGGATCTTCATGCTTCTCCCTCCCCACACCTGTAAGCATGAGTGGGAGGGGCAGGATTTCGTTCGGCTCACATGGCCAGAGAGGGAGTCCTTTAGCAAGGGAACTTACCTCTTTGAATTCTTATCTCCAAGGTTCCTAGCATTCAGTGTATTCTGAGCAGTAACCGTCTGCTGTTCCCAGGACGGGTACAAAGTCCTGGGTGGAAGGGAGGAGCGGCCCTGCAGCCTGGGCTCCTCGCTGGCCCTGGTCCAGCATCTCAGTCCTCGGAGCGTTGTCGGGGAGAGTACGGGATCTTCGCTGAAATCCACCTCCCGCCACCCCTGCTGCGCTCACACAGCACTGGGAGGAGAATGCAGCCACCGGGCTCAGTCCTGCAGGCGGAGTGCCCCGGGAGCTTCCGTGGACCCGCAGAGTGCAGCCAGGTGAGGGCTTGGGACAAGCAGCAATCATTTGCTTCAAATCCCAGCTCTGCTGCTTGCTGGCTTTGTGGCCTTGTCAAGTTACTTCTCTGAGCTTCAGATTCTCCCTCTGCTGTATAAAGATAGTACTTCTTGCACTAGCCGGTTTGGCTCAGTGGGTAGAGCACTGGCCTGTGGGCCAAAGGGTCCTGGGTTCGATTTTGGTTAAAGGCACGTATCTTGGTTGCCATCGCCTCCCCAGCCTGGGTCTTGGTTGGGGTACATGCAGGAAGCAACCAATCAATGTGTTTCTCTCACATCGTGTTTCTCTGTCTTCCCCTCTCTTTTCCACTCTCTCTAAAAATCAATGGAAAAATATCCTCGGGTGAGGATTGACATCAACAACAAAAATAGTGCTGCTGTGAACTTAAATGTGAAAACATCTCTAAAATAAAGTAAAAAAGATAATACCTCTTAATGCTATTGTTACAATGCCTGGCATGCAGTAAACACTAAGTACGTGGTAGGCATATTGGTATTATTATTAATTACTACCATCACCCTCTCCTGAAATGTTCTTTGGGAGCTGAGGGAGGCAGGGGCCAGCAGAAGGCAGGCTCACGCTGGTGAGTGCCCCTGACCAAGGAGTGGAGCCAGGGCCCCTCCCGGGAAAGGAGGCGGGTGAAGACAGGTGGCATTTGCCCAGGGCCACCTGGGAGCTTGTGAGGGGGCAGCGAGGCCGAGTCCTCCTTTTTGTTTTGTTTTTTGTTAATCCTCGCCTGAGCATATTTTCCCATTGATTTTTAGAGAGAGTGGAAGAGAGGAGGAGAGGCAGAGAGAAACATCGATGTGGCAGAGATACTTCCATTGCCTGCCTCCCGCGCATACCCCAACCTAGGCTGGAGATGGAGCCTGCAACCGAGGTACGTGCTCTTGACTAGAATCGAACCTGAGACCCTTCAGTCCGAGGGCCGATGCTCTATCCACTCAGCTATGGCTGAGTCCTTCTTTTTGACCCTGCCTGTCTCTACAGGTGTTAGTTACTTTTTGCTCTTTGAGTTTTCAGTGTAACCTACCATTGCATGGCATCCAGGTAGCTGGTTCTGGTTAGATCACTCTCGTGATTTTTAACAAGCCGTAGCCATTGCCTACTGGCCCTTGGTTCGTACCACCCATATTTTGTTTATTCCAAACTCACTGAATTGCATGGCCTAGCGTGCCTTGTTCTGCACCATTCCCTGGCCCAAACTCACCTAATCAACTAGAATATATATCAGTTAGAGACAAAGCTATACACATGCCACCTGCTCCCTCTTACCTTTGGCCTCCAGCTCTGCCATAAGGCGGCATATCTAAAGGTCTGATAGGTGGGGCACCTAACTCTACCCAGCTTCCCAGCTCCTTTCAATCCCCTTGTGACAGCTTCCTCTGACACCGCAGGCAGGAGTTGCGCAGAGATCTCACAAAGGGTATTCTCACAACCTCCATTTCCGGTGAGCAGTTGAGGGCAGAGGAGAGGCGGGTGGCTCCTGCCATGGGCCTGTGGGCCCTGAGCACACTGACTGCCTTTCCAGACACCCCAAAGAATTCCTAGGTTGGGAGCGAGGCGAGAGCTGGACACCACGATGGGGACAGGGACAGGAGAGAAAGCATTGGTGAGCAGGTGCCTGGCCAGTCAGAGGGACCTAAGGGAAGGTGGTCAGAGGAAGGATGGAGAAGTGGAGCCCTGGCCCCAGGAGGGAAGCCAAGGAGCCTGAGGAAAGGGAAAGAGATCTTAAAGGAGTTGTTGAGTGGTTGATGGAAGGGGAGGGAGTAAGAAGGATTTAGAGACAAGAGAGCCCTAATGTGGGGACAAAGCTGCTGCTGAGTAGAAACGGGAGGGAGCAGCTGTGTCAGACCGGATGGGTGGTGAGCCTGGGGAGGGTCCCACAGAGCAGGGGAGATAGACCGGGAGAGGGTGAAAGGGAGAGTGGGTGGGGGGAGATGCCCCAGGTGGCATTTTGGAATTCATTTTAGGTTACCCAGTGTAAGGGGACCCTTCAGAAGGTGAAACTGAGGAGAGAGGACCCGGCGGTGCGCTGGCCAGGGTGCCCAGCTCCAAGCCACTCTTGTACTCAGTCCTCTCTTTTGTTTCCTTCTGAGGCCGACTTGTTGGGAAATGAACATAGCAAGGGAGCGAGGCCCAGGAGTCAGAACGAAAGGAAGAAGTAATCAGTTGCCCCTCATCCCTTCCTGGGTCCTCTGCTTATCTGCACTGGTGAGAGTCTAAGGTAGGGGTGTCGAACTCAATCAGAGAAGGGGCCAAAATCTAAAATCCAGCCTAAATCGCGGGCTGAATGGTTTACTGAACAGTCATAAACTGTCATTGTGATGGAAACACAGCGGAGTGCAGTGATGACAGCGTGGTGCGGGCCACATTGCAAGGCCTGGCGGGACGGATTTGGCCCGCGGGCCTTGTGTTTGACACATGTGGTCTAAGGGATGGAGGGCCTGCCTTCCCATCCCTCAAGGTCCCTCTGGGCAAGGGGACAGCTATGCTGTGGGAGACACAGAAAACAGGTCTGACTTTCCATTTGGGGTCAATCACTTCCTCCAGAAAGATTCCATGAGGGGCAGAAACAGGGAGGGCAAATAATCCCAAGTCCTGGTTGGCCTAGAATCTTTGGATCTTCCTTGACCCCAACCTGCCTGAGGTAGATTAAAAAACCTGAACGAATATCTCCCAAACTGAAATTGGCTTCCTTTTCCCAGTAGGTCCAGGCACAATGCCCAGCGTATTTAAGACAATCACAAGAGTCCAGGAGTTGGACGCTGCAGGCGATATGATTGAAGTCAGAAGCGTCCTTGATGCTGACAAGTTTCATTGTTTCTGTCTGGTGATGGGGACGAATACACGCCATTTCTACAGAACAGACCTCACCCTGGAGGACATACTGGAGGGTGAGAGGGTGAAGGGCAGTGTGAATGTCTGGATTCTGGTTTCCAGGTCAGTATGAGGTCCAGGAGAGATGGCCAGCCAGGAAATTTGGCCCCCTCCTACTGCCCCCCACCCTCAACTCCCCATTGCCAGCAACCAAGTCAACCAGTCAACAAAGGCACTGTAGAATTTGTATGAACACATCTACACACCTCATTTAAGAAATGCACAGAAGAGTGGCACGGCAGATGGGAATGAGGAAGTGGAAATTTATTTTTCTTTTAAAAAATGTATTTTTATTGATTTCAGAGAGGAAGGGAAAGAGAAAAAGAGAGAGAGAGCGAGAGCGAGAGCGAGAGAGAGAGAGAGAGAGAGAGAGAGAGAGAGAGAGAGACATCAATGATGAAAGAGAATCATTGGCTGCCTCCTGTATACTCCACATTGGAGATCAAACCCACAATCCAGGTATGTGCCCTGACTGGGAATTGAACCCTGACCACCTGGTGCATAGATTGTTGCTGAACCACTGAGCCACACCGGTTGGGAGGAAATTTATTTTTCTTGGAAACTATTCATAGTCTTTCTTTCCCAATTTTCCCTTTGTAAATAATTTGTTTTAAAATTAGCTGATGTCTTCATATGTGTTTATATGTTTATCACTTTAGTGGGTACATAAATGGAGGTCATTTGCTTAGTGGTTAAGGAAACACGCAGGCTTCAGAGCTGGGGGCATCTGGTCTCTAAGCCTGGCTCCGCCACTTACCAGCGGGGTGACCTCTGAACAAGTTTGTTTTCTCATCTGTCAACTTGAGCAAGACTGTTGCAAGAATCAAATGAGAAAAATTACGTAAATCATTTATCACAGGGCCTGCACAGAGGAACACTCAAAGTTCACCAAGTCATTCTCTGGCGGTTATTATGATTACCCCTTGGTGTTCCCCGGAGATCATGACTAAGTGGCTGGTGAGCAGAACTCACCAAGGGCTTGAGGGGACTCATAGAGGAGTATGCTCCACCCCCTGCCTCCACACTTAGCTCTCCTTGGGGTTTTCCGGATTTGAGGAGCCCCAGGGTAAGTGTTGTGGAACCCTCACTTGAAGATGGACCAGTGTCTCACACATCATGGAGAGGAGTTTTACAGCTCAGACGCCTTGGCTGTCGCCCATTGGGTGTCATCCTGAGAAGGAAGAGAATTCTGACAGTCCCTCTGTGCAGTTTCAGAGCACCTGCCATGCCAAGCACTGCTGTCACGTGACCAAGATCAGTGTCCAGATTACTCGGATGTGGCGGCTGTTTTCATATTGGAGTTTACTAAAGCAACCGGGATGTTTTGCCACGATCATAAAAATTTGACTAAGTCAGTTTAACTTCCTTAAAGGGAAAGTCTATCTGTTTGCATAAAACATTCAGAGGCAGAGGTGAAACTAAACTTTTTTAAAAAGTCCATAAGAATGAAGTGAATTGGTAATTTGAATTGATTTTTAGCAACTTGGCCTGCTCCCTTTTCAAGTGGTTATTTTATTTTTTTTAACTACATGGTGCCCACAGTGTTGTTAAAGCGTGCTTAGGGTTTGTTTGTTTTTACTACCTAAAGTCCACACTTCATTGAGATTCTCTTAATTTATCTAATATACCTTTCCTGTTCCAGGACCCCATTTAAGATAACACATTACTTTTTTTTTTTTTTTTTTTAAATATATTTCTTTATTGATTTCAGAGAGGAAGGGAGAAGGAAAGAGAGATAGAAACATCAATGATGAGAGAGAATTGATCGGCTGCCTCCTGCACACCCCCTACTGGGGATCAAGCCTGCAACTCAGGCATGTGCGGAAATCGAACCTGGGGCGCTTCATTTTGCAGGCTGACGCTCTATCCACTGAGCCAAACCGGCTAGGGCCCACATTACCTTTAGTTGTCATATCTCCTTACGCTCCTTTTGGCTGTGACAATGTCTCAGACTTTCCTTGTTTTTTGTGATCTTGATAGTTTTAAGGGGTATTTGTCAGGCATATTGTAGGATGCCTCTCTATTGGAATTTGGTGCCTTTTTCTCATGATTAGACTGAGATAATAATGGGTTTTGGGAAGGAAGACCATAGAGGTAGAGCTATTCTCATTACATTATATCAAAGGAATGGACTTTCAGCATGACTTTCACTACTGATGTTTACCCTGGTCTCTTGGCTGAGGTCATGTTTTTCATGTCTCCCTATAAAATTAGTCTTTTATCCCCCTTCCTATGCTGTACTCTTTGTGTGCATAAGGCTTGCTTTTGCTTTTCTCTCTGATAAAGTATATGCAAACGGTTACATTGCTCAAGAAACAAACTGGTCCTGAGACGTTGGTGTCGCACACACAGGACTGATCCCCGGCACTATTTCCACTTCTGTCATGCCTCACCAGTTCCAAATGCGTTTTTCTCTGGAAATTCAGAGATCGGTGTGACCTCTATCCCTCTCTTTCCAGGTTCACAGGCTGAGTTCCAAGCTGTGGATGTGGTAGGCTCAACGCGGGGAGTGGACAGGGAAATTGCCCAGGGGAATTACAATCGGAGGCGCCTTTCAGGAGTCCCACAAGCATGACATCACGATGTTGAGGTCCAGGGTATCCCAGCGATATCTGGATTCGCTCCGGGACAGGTGAGGCTGGAGGGAGGCAGCAGTGGGGAGAATAAAAAGGAGCAGCCCATATTGTGTGTCCAGGGCATCTGTGTGGAGGGCAGCCTCACTCCCTACCCCAGTACTCCTGCCACCCACTCCTTTCCTCAGGCAGGCCGCTCTTCTTCTTCTTCAGGGAGCTGTCTCATTCTCCCAGGATCAGGAAATCTTCTTCTGATGCCCCCAATTCGCTCACACCCCTGCTGTCCTCCAGCGTGACTGATTTCTCTGGCTTGAACCAAAATGTACTGGTTTCAAGGGGCTGCTCTGTTTTCTTATACTGAGTTGCCCAAATCTGTATTTTGTGCTTATTTCAGCCTCTGGGTTTATCGCTAGCACTCGCTAAGGGAGTACGGACCTAGGGGAACTTTGAAAGTATGTCCGAGTGCCACCTTCGGAAATTCTGATTTCATTGATCTGGTGGTATGGCCTGGGCATCAGGATTTTTAAAATCACTTCCCAGGTGATCCTCATGTACAGTCAAGGCTAAGAAGCACTGCTCCAACTTCCTCTAGATCCTCACTACTCTTAGTGTGATCGAAAGACTGCACTTTGAAAGGTAAGGACTCAATAAGCTTGGATTTCCTGGAGGTGGAGGAGAATTTGGGGTTGGTACTAGACTGGGGGTGAGCGAGGGAGATGGAAGTGGAGTCAGCGGGCAGCAATTATGGCGGGTGTTTGGGAAGAAAGATGCTTCATTTTACTAGGAAAAGATTAGAGGGAGGGAACAGAAGTGTTCTCCAGAAGAAACAGATGAGGAATAGGGTCTTGGTAATGGAGCTTGTTGGGTTGGGTAGGATGGGTTCTTAGCTGCTGCCTCAATAGTAAAGTCTTTGAACTTGGAGGATTTAAGAAACATGAAGGAGAAGATGCAGGACACAGCGAGAGGTCTCCAGGATCTGACTGAAGAGGATCAAGATGTGCTAAGCTATCTCACTAAGTGCCCCACCACAGACAAGGAGTTGAAGGATCTAGATGAAAAAGTAAGAGGCTCTAGAAAGAACTTGGGCAGAGAGAGGGACAAGGTGAAGTGCAGGGCAGCAGACATACTGCAGGCAACCTGTTCTAGTGGGACTAGTGCTCACCTCCCCACCTCCTGGCTACAGGTGTCTCAAGTCCTGCCCTCCGGTGAGCTGCAGATGGAGGGCCCAGCAGGTCCTCTCCTGAGTAGCCTTTTTAATGCTGCTGGCATCTTGGTTGAGGCATGCGTAGAAGCCATTCTGGAGTTCCTGGAAGCCTTGAAGGGTGAGGAGGAGTCTGGGTGGGTACTGATGTGGAGGACATGCAGAATGATCTGTGGGGAACCACATCTTGGGAGGAAGGTGGTACACATTGCCTTTACCTTTTGTGAGGAATAAGCCATCGCATTTCAGAAACCAGCCATCTTCCCCAGACCAGGGGCTGAGGGATGCCTCCTCTCCCCGTGTGGCACGGTCTCTGACCACCTGTAGGCTACGGAGCCACAGCAGGAGCCCGTTGGAAATACTCCCATCTTTCACTCCCAGGAGCTCTCTGGAACCTCTTCTCATGCTTGTCTTGGTCTGACCAGACACGGAAGCCCTGTCCCACTACGTGCCCCTCCCACTTTTTACGCTCAGAGCTGTCTGAGGAGGAGCAGCTTATGGCTGAGACCCTGAAGAAGGGGACCCTGCCCCTGTTGAAGGACCAGTTAAGAGAGTCTGGGCTGAGGGCTAGGTCTTAGTAGAAGTGAATGCCCGTGCTTTTCAAGGGATCCAGAAGTCCCAGGATTTTGTCCCTTCTGACTTTGTAGTTCTTTGTCAGCTCATCTCTATTAAGCTGGTTTGTGGCAATTCCCTGGACATATAGTTTCCGGGACAATTAGGAATGGGCAAGAGAGGGGGGTGTAAAACTATTAGTCCCAGGATGCAGTTGGCGCCATCTTAAGTGCCAACCTGATTGGTTAGCAGTGCCTGTTACTATGCCAGGCTCACAGGGAAGATGTTGTCAACAAAATTGGAATCATCTAAATAGTCCAGCTGGCAAATTCTAAATATAAAAATTTTACCCTGTGGGAAAAAAAGTAACATTTATCAAGTGTGTTAAGTGCCTGACACTTTCATATACTACCACTGAGAAGGTAAATTAGTACATTCACTTGAATACTAATTTGTCATTACAAATGGAAGATTTACTACCCTATGACCCAGGAATTTGACTGCTAGTATAAACTCTAGAGTAACTTGTACACATGTGTATCACATGTGTTGAACTTTTCAAAAAATATTTTTTTATTGATTTTAGAGCTAGAAGGAGAAAGGGAGAGAAAAATAACCGTAAGAGAGAAACACCAGTCGGCTGCCTCCTTCACTCCCCCAACTGGGGATTGAGCCTGCAACCTGGGAGTGTTTCCTGACCGGAAACTGAACTGGCAGCCTCTAGTTTCATGGACTGATGCTCAACCACTATGCTACACTGGCTGGGCACCAGTTTGTTTATCCATTCTATTGTTGGAGAACACTCAAGTTGTTTCCAGTTTTTTACCATTACAACATCCTACTAACAAAAATTCTTAAAAGTATCTATTGGCTGGCAGGTGTGGCTCAGTGGTTGAGTGTTGGCCCATGACCTGAAAGATTGCTGGTTCGATTCCCAATCAGGACACTCGCCTGAATTGTGGGCTCAATCCCCAGTAAGGGGCAGGAGGCAGCCGATCAATGATTCTCTGTCATTGTTAATGTTTCTATCTCTGTCTCCCTTCTTCTCTGAAATCAATAAAAGTATGTTAAAAAAAAAAAAAATCTGAACAACTCACCAAAGAAGATACACCAATGACAAATAAGCACATGAAAAGATGCTTAGAATTTGATGCTATCAGGGGATTTAAAATTAAAAGGACAATGAAATACCACTATATACTTATTAAAATGGCTAAAATCCTAAAACTGAAAATAACAAAGCTAGTGAGGATGAGGAGCACATTCATTGCAAAATGGTAAACCAATTTGGGAGACAGTTTGCCATTTTCTAACAAAACTGCACATAATCTTACCATAAATCCATGTTCTTAGGTATTTACATGGCAAAGTTGAAAACTTACGTCCACACAAAAACCTACACACAACCCTGGCCAGCGTGGCTCTCTGGTAGAGCATCAGCCTGCACACTTAAGGGTCTTGGGTTCTGTTCCTGGTTAAGGTCATGTAACTGGGTTGTAGGTTATTCCCAACCCCGGTGTGGGTGCGTGGCACATACGAGAGGCAACCAATTGATGTACTTCTCTTACATCGATGTTTCTCTCCTTTCCTTCCCCCTCTCCCCCTCCCTCCCACCTACTTTCCTTCGTCTCTCTCTAAAGAAAAAAATCAATGGAAAAAATATCCTCAGGTGAGGATTGACAACAAAAACATGAAGAACCTTCACGCAAATGTTTACAGCTGCTTTATTCATAATTACCCAAAACGGGGAGCAACTAAGATGTCCTTCATATATCCATACAATAAAATATTATTCAGCAATAAAAAAATTATCAAGTCACAGAAAAACATGGAGGAGACTTAAATATATATTGGTAAGTAAAAGAAGCTAGTCTGAAAATTTTACATGCTGTATGATTCCAAGTATAGATTTTTCAAAAAGGCAAAATTATAGAGACTGTAAAAAGATCAGTGGTTGTCAAGAATTCTAGGGTGAGGGGGAGAGATGAACAGATGAAGCACAGGGGATTTTTAGGGTGGTGAAACTATTTTTAAAAATATATTTTATTGAATTTTTACAGAGAGGAAGGGAGAGGGATAGAGAGTTAGAAACATCAATGAGAGAGAAACATCGATCAGCTGCCTCCTGCACACCCCCTACTGGAGATGTGCCTGAAAACCAAGGTACATGCCCTTGACTGGAATCGAACCTGGGACACTTCAGTCCGCAGGCCGCCGCTCTATCCACTGAGCCAAACCTGTCAGGGCAGTGAAACTATTTTGTATGAAACTGTAATGGTGGATGCATATCATTACGAATTTGTCAAAACACATAGAACTGTATTACACAAAGAATGAACCTTAATTAAACCATGTACTGTTACAGCTAATAATATATTAGGTTTGGTTCCTAATTGTGACAAATGTATCATACTAATGCAATATGTTAGTAATAGGGAAAACAGGAGGCGTGAGAGTGTGGGCTAGAGCGAGTATATGAACTCTTTAATATCTGCTCAGTTATTCTATAATATAAAACTATACTAAAAAATAAGGTCTGTTAATTACAAGCAAAGTGACAAAAAGAAAACTTTTTGTTTCTAAATACAAAAATTATATATATATATATATATATATATATATATATATATATATATGCCTTTATATTGTATAAGTGATTTCAAGCAAATTAATATATGGAAAGTACAAAGTTTTTATTACATTATATTTTGCTACTCTTTTTGACCTTAATATAGTCTTAGGCACAAAGCAACAGATTCAGTTTGTAAACAACAAAACATTTCATTAAAATCATCCACTAAATACACATTCCTTTGTACAATGGCGATATTAGATTAAATGCCTTCTTAGAAATGCCATGTCAACTATCTTTTTTTTTTTTTTTTTTTTTTTTTAGTTTCTAAAATGTATGTTTTCCAATGTTTTGGTTTCATTGATCTTTCTTAATGGAACTATGATGCTCTGGGATGTGAACAAATCTTATGTCCCCCACTTCAACAAGCAAGTAGCAATGCTTTCACCTCTAGTCTTCATATTGCAATTTTTGTTTGAAGTTTATGGGCAAAATTTAGCTCCGTAAGCAATGATGGAAATGCAGGTGTGACAAGTAACATCAGCATCAGGACTAAAAGTCCCAGGACTACAAGCCACTGCAGAGGAAAACACATGGAGTAGATTATTATACTTTCAATTAGAGATATTTTATATCAAGAGTTTAAACCTGCCTTTAATAACATATCATTTCTATATCTATGGTATATTGAGTAATGTTCTGTCAAGTAAGTTATAGAGAATAGTTATGAATTTCAAACATTGTAATTTAATGATATTAAGGCAGAAGAAAGTTAGAATCCCATCTTTCCCATTAGTATCAGCATTTATACTATCTTATGCAGTGCCCCATTTATGAGTTCCTTTGCAGGCCTGGTCCCTCCCAAATGCCCTTCCCTGCTGGCCATCTTTTGGTGGCCATCTTGTGTCCACATGGGGGCAGCCATATTGTGTGTTGGAGTGATGGTCAATCAGCATATTACTCTTGTATTAGACAGGATAAAGCCCTGATGCAAGGGTGGGGGCCAGCTGGTTTGGCCTGAAGGGTGTCCCGGATCAGGGTGGGGGTTCCCTTGGGGTGTGTGGCAGCCTGGGCGAGGGGCCTGTGGTGGTTTGCAGGCCAGCCATGCCCTCTGGCAACCCAAGTGGACACCCTGGTATCTGGAATTTATTTACCTCCTACAATTGAAACTTCATAGCCTGGAGTGAAACCAAGCCTTCTGCTTGTTCTATGGCTGCCGCCAGCAAGGGCAGGCAGAAAACTTGACTTCTTCCATTGCCAGAGAAACCCAAACCTCCCTCCTGCTCTCTGTGGCTGCAGCCATCTTGCTTGGGTTTATTTGCATACTCTCTCTGATTGGCTGGTGGGCATGGCTGGTGGGTGTGGTTTGTGGGTGTAGTGGAGGTATGGTCAATTTGCATATTACTCTTTTATTAGATAAGATTCTCTAGTTCCTATTTTCAATTCTGTTTTCTAGATAGGACCATTCTGTTTTCCTTCACAGTATAGTAGCTTAAGTCAGAACACTATAAAAATGTTTTGTTATATAAAAGAGTATATTAAGAAGAATTGATTGCTACAAAGGTTCAATTCAATTATCCTAAGTGATTATTAATTTATTCTAAGTACCCTAAATATATATATTTTTAATTTTTATTGCATTTATTGAAATTGGTTAATAAAATTATATAGGTTTCAGGTATACAACTCTATAATACATCATCTGTAGATATTTATATTTTATAATTACCGCAACAGGAAGCACAATTACTGTGTAGACCTTCATTTTTCCCAAAGCCTGAACGGCAGCTATCCATACGTGCCATTTGAAAACTGTGGTCGATAAAATGCATAGCTGGTAGAGTTTTATTATATTCACGGTAGAAAATAAATGCTTGGCTCCGGAAAAATTCTGCTATTCGATCTTTTGCCTATATTTTAAAATAGCAGTGAGAAGTACAATGATTAAATTGTGAAGCAATTTCTCCTCCTGCATCAGAGGCAATGAAACGTGCTATCAGCATACTCATGCCATCCATGTTTTACACAAAAGATGAATTCCTGAAAAGTTATGTTAATACTAAAATTAGCCTTGACCTTATCAACTATTAATTCATATGTACACTGGTTAAGAAAAGTTAACCTTTGTTTTGAATTAATTGCAGCATGTCTATTCTATTTTTAGATATTATTTCCAATTCCAAAGAACCAAGTAAAATGGAAATTAAACATTTTCTTTAATCAGCACTACAAACTAATGAATAAATTTTATTTTTTTAAGCGTAGAGTTTAATGAGGACTAATATAAACTCAGTGCTTCCCATAACCCATGCATAAAATAAACGTTATGGACTCAGGAACTAGATCAGGAGAGTGAAGAGATTTTTTTAGACTATGTCCTTAGCCTCTGAGGATGGCTGAGGAGACATGAACCGGTGCACGAATTCGTGCATGGGTGAGGTTCCTTAGCCTGGCCAGATCTAAGCTGATCTGGCCAGCCAGCCAGGGGAAGAAACCGTGAGACGCTGGCCAGCTGCGGGAGGTTGGCTGTGGGAGCACACTGACCACCAGGGGGCAGCTCCTGCATTGAGCATCTGCTCCCTGGTGGTCAGTGTGTGTCACAGCTACCGGCCAGTCATCCAGTTGGCTGGTCATTTGGTCCTAACAGTCACTTAGGCTTTTATATATATAGATCATAGATACAATTTTGAAAGAACCATTGGTTTAACCTAGGACGACCTGATTGTGAGGTTGTTCTTCAAGCTGCTACTTAGTTAACATTTGGGAAACAAAAACCAAGAACCCATTTTCTGTCTCAGAAAAACATATTAACCTAGGGAGCTATATAATATTCCATATGTACTATTCCAAAACAAAGCATCTTGAAATAGCCAAGACTCACAATCTCAGTATAAATAACAAAATCAAAAGTCAGTAAAAAAAAAAAAAAAAATGAAGACTTCTGACTTAAGTCAATAATACTTTATATTTGTTTTTAAAATAAAAGAATAAGTTAAGTCTACTTCTGTAGAATGTCTTTATTATTGATAAATATTCACAGCACGAAGAAATAATTAGAAAAATTAATTAATTAATTAGAAAAATTTTAAATAGCTTTATTGACTATTCAAATGCTTTTCCCTTACAATGAAATTCTCACCTGGAGGATATTATGATTAGTGATATTTTCACAGTCATTAACTTCATTGCATGAACTTCCCCACTGTGGTACAAAAGCATGAACTGGAAAGGAAAAATGATATCTTCACAAAAGGATCCTAAAAAGTTCCAAACATTCCAATAAAGCTCTAAATACTGAACTCAGTAGTATGAATGGGTGCATGTGTTGAATCTATATGATCCCAGTAATAAAGTTGCAAAAACTAAATAATTTATACATTATGATTTTACTCCATCTGGGGGCTAATGGAAGTAACTACAAGGCTTTAAAATAAATAGAAATAAAATAAAAATAATTTTTTTTTGGTTCCTCCCATTTTATTAAGTTCTCCAGAATCCAATTTAAAATTCTGTAAAAAGCTATGGTAAATATTAGCTGTATTTATAAAAATAAGCAACCATATATCACAATTGAAGGTAAATACTGTAATGTGTTAATTTTTAAACTTTTTATTATTATTTTTTAAAATTTTATTGATTATGGTATCACATAATTGTCCTCATCCCCCCATTCCCATCCCAAACTTCTCCCCAAATATGCCCCAACCCCCCTTTTGTCCATGGCCACTGGCTAGGCCCATATGCATGTACACAAGTCCTTTGGTTGATCTCTGCCCCTTACCCCTTTATCGCTGCTTCTCTTTCTCTGGGTCTGTTTTTGTTCATCAGTTTATCTTGTTCATTATTTCCTCTAGATGTGTGAGATCATGTGATCCAAGAAATACCCTTGTAAGTGTAATGTGTTAATTTTTTAACCAGGCTAAGACTAACAATATATTTTAGTGCTTAATAAACATTTAAGGCCTACTATTTGTAAGATAGCTCACATTAACATGGTAATTAGTTTTATAATCTGTCATGGTTCAAGATTAAACTCATAAAATTAAAGTTTAAAATTTTTTTACCTTGAAAGGCTATAAATAATTCAGGTATGATGCCATGTTTTGGAAGTTTGACAAAATGGCATTTATATGATGGTTGTTTGATATGGCAAGACAAATCAGAAATTAAATTATTCAAGATTTTCTTCAGCAATGTAAAAAGCATTTCATTATATCTTCCTATACAAGATTTTGTGGTAAAATGTACAGCCATCTGATATGAATAATCAGGTTCCCGATAGGCTTAAAGGAAGATGAGAATAAAAACAATTGTGTCTAACATTAATTATCCATAACAATTTTCAAGTAACACATAATAGTAAATTCATCAATCTTGCAAATCAGCATAGATACTTAACTTAGCCAATAAAATGTTTTATCAGTTTGCTCTCATAAAACTATACAAAACTAATAACTTGAATGAAAAGAATATTATTTTCATCTGATATATTATCTACTCAGTACACGTAAAGAAATGGCTTTGGTGGACTGGCTATGTATATGTGTTAAGGAAAAAATAAGATTGGGGGAGGGTCTTCACTGGCAGAGTGTCATTGTTGTCGGAATAGCCAATGAAAGGGATCATTAATTTGCTTTTATAGGATTAAACATCAGTTTTTAAGATACCTGTCAAAATTATGACAAAGTAGATTGCATACCTAAACAATGGGAAGTGGGAAGCTGAAAGAGAATCATTTAGTATACAATGTCTTCTTGACATTAATTTAAGAGTTTGCCTGGTCAGCCAAAACCGGTTTGGCTCAGTGGATAGAGCATCGGCCTGTGGACTGAAAGGTCCCGGGTTTGATTCCGGTCAAGGGCATGTACCTTGGTTGCGGGCACATCCCCAGTAGGGGGTATGCAAGAGGCAGCTGATTGATGATTCTCTCTCATCGATGTTTCTGGCTCTCTATCCCTCTCTCTTCCTCTCTATGAAAAATCAATAAAATACATTTTTTTAAAAAAGAGTTTGCCTGGTCAAATACACTCAGAATGCTCTGTAAATCATGATTAGATAATGTATACACACACTTAGAATAATTATAAAGGCGATGTTTATTAAAATATATTTCATTTTCAAAATTGAGCTATCAGCTGTTAAAGTACATGTACATTTTTGGGGGATATCCTGGATATGACAGACTCATTTTCACTAAAGAAACTATACACTTAATTCTGATCAAGCTAAGCATATTAAGTTAAAATGTGCCTATATTCTTACCAAACATCATAAAGTCATATCTATTTTTTACCATCTTTTCTTTTTGGGTTTGTACTTTGATAATCTTATAAGAAAGAGTACATGAATAAAGTCCAGATAAAGACTCCAGGAAATTTTTCACCATCAGCTTTCCTGTTTTAGTTATATTTATTCGATAATTTCCTAAACAGAAATAGTAAATTACTTGGTTATTTAATATATAACAATTCAAACGTTATTTAGTAAGCTTAGGGTTACAAAAAAAATACAAAAATGTAAAATTTAATGGACTATTTTAACTTTAAGAATTCGACAAAATCTTAATTCTGTCATATTGCTCTTTGGAGAACCAGATGAGATAAGTACAGCTTTGAAATAGGTTTTGGTTTTCTTTAATTCATTTCTTGATGCATCTAATTTCAATTGGTTTATACTTATAATTCAGTAAATAAAATTACACTGCCCTATAATGCTATTCAATTTCTTCACATAAGACAGAAATTAATATTTATAATCCACTGGCACTCTTCTAATATCATGAAAATTACATATCAGACACCTCATTTCCTTTTACAGGTGCTATAAGGATAAATTTTAATTTTTATAAAAATTTTTAACTAATACAACTCTGGGAAGTGGGGTGCAAAAATTACTGCTTCAGTTTTTACATAAGGAGAAAATAAGGCACAGACCAAGGTATACGATTTTAAGTATGGAGCAAGTGGAACTGCAATTAAAATTCAGCCCAGCTGTCATGGCTCAGTGGTGGAGTGTTGACCTATCAACCAGGAGATCAAGGTTTGATTCCTGGTCAGGGCACATGCCCAGGTTGAGGGCTCAGTCTCTATTGTGAGGTGTGCAAGAGGCAGCCAATCAATGATTCTCTTTCATCATGTTTCACTCTCTCACTCTCCCTTCCTCTTTGAAACCAACAAAAACATATTTAAAAAAATTAAATTTTTCATTTGTTTATTCCAATAAGTGACAGTGCTTTTCTAAACAAAACTAGAGGCCGTGTGCATGAAATTCATGCATAGGGGGCTGTCCCTCAGCCCGGCCTGCACGCTCTCCAATCGAGGACACCTCAGGGGATGTCCCACTGCTGATTTAGGCCTGATCCCTGTGGACGCCAGTCAGACATCCCTCTCGCAATCCAGGACCACTGGCTCCCTAACGCTCACCTGCCTGCCTGCCTGATTGCCCTTGACCACCTTTGCCTGCTGGCTTGATGCCCCTAACTGCTCCCCTGCCAACCTGATCACCTCCTAACTGCCATCTCCTGCTGGCCTGATCATCCTCTAATTGCCCTTCCTTGCTGGCCTGATCACTTCCTAACTGCCCTCCCTGCCAGCCTGATCACCCCTAACCACTCTGCCTTGGCCCCTGCCACTGTGGATTTGCCTGGGAGGACATCCTGAAATTGTCTAGTCTAATTAAGCATGTTACCCTTTTATTAGTATAGATGTTCACATCATTAGAAAAGAAGATATTAAAATAAAATAATTTACCTGTTAATGGCTTTTCATCAGGCCCAACCCATGAGTAGGTGGGGTCCACTGTTTCTTTTTTAGCAAGTTGTATATCCATACAGACAAGGAATGGGCTATTTTGGTGTAATTCTACATATATCTTCACTGTGATAAGATAAAATAATATATTACTACATTATATAGCAAAATTTACTTAATAAATGCAATACCTACCATTTTGTCCCAAAGATACTCTGATTAGTTCTTTTCAGATTTCACTATTTTTAAAATCAGTGTATCATTCATGATAACATTTAGAATGCTAAAGCCCTTTTTGTTTTCCATAGTTTTTGTTTTGTTTTTAATCCTCACCCGAGGGTATTTCCCCATTGATTTTTAGATAAACTGGGAGAGAGAGAGAGAGAGAGAGAGAGAGAGAGAGAGAGAGAGAGAGAGAGAAGTATCATATTGATGTGAAGAAACACATAGATTGGCTGCCTCCTGCACATCTCTAACCAGGGCCCAGGCAGAGGAGGAGCTTCCAAACGAGGTAGGTGCCCTTTATCGGAATCGAACAAGTGACCTTTCAGTCCGCGCAAACCTTTTATCTAAGGCAAGCCGGCTAGGGCTCTTTCTCATAGTTTTTAAAACTCTAGACTATTAGTAAATACTTTTCTTTTTCTGTAATATTATAGTTTTGTTTATAAAAAATGTACACAATACAATGTACAAATTCAGAATTCACTGCAATCATAATTATTTGAAAAGTTAGTGGAATCAGTTTAAAGATCAGAAAAGGACTTGGGTTTGGTTGCAAAACTATTTTAGATGATCATTGTCACCCCTAAAGGAAACTTGATATTTAACTATAAATGTCCTCTAGTTGGGAACAATAGTTAAGCCTATATGGGGCATGCTAGGTCGAGTTTCTGCAATTAACCTATTGTTTCAGATTTGGTGAGAGCAGCAATAATCTGCTTGGAACCAATGTGGTCCAAGTTATTAATTTTAAAGCCTATCGAATGCCGGGTTCTGAACATATAAAGAAGACTCTGTCCTACAATTTGGTGGTGTCAGAGAGGGGCAGAGCCCCAAAAACCGAGAGATTCCAAACATGAGAAATGCTATGAGCCAGACCAAAGTTATCTAAAGTTAGCGATTTGACTAGTTTTCCTTGGGGAATGTGGGAGTTTCATCACAGGGATAAAGGGCATTTGAGTTGAACCGTAAAAGATGCTGGAGGAGTTCTAGATAAGAAGGGGGAGAGATCAGAGTGTTCCAAAGAGAGAAACTTCCGGTCCTGGACATTCCTCCTCTGAGTCGGCCTGGTACGTGGCAAAGGAGCAGAGACACCTGTACGTGAGATGGCATCAGAGAAAGAGATCCGGATCGAGTCCTAGGTCCTTATCCTCAGGAGATGCGGGGCTTCCGGCCAGGTGACATAGCTAAGGCGCAGTAGGGTAGCTGTAAGGATGACGCGAAGCCACCTCCAGGAAGTGCCACCCAGCACCCAGCAGACGGTCCACGAGCAGTGACTGCCTTTCCCTCCACGGGAAGAAGAACTTGAGCAGGTCCATGGCACCCCGGCTCTCCGGATAGACTGTGCAGGTGACGAGGTCTTTATTACCTGTGTGCACCAGGTTGCCATAAACGAAGCCTTTCTCAGTGAATTCGGAAAAACGCTGCCATCCAACTGTGGGGGAAAGAAACCACTGACATTTTAGGCGGAAGAGGAGCCGGGGGCTCAGAGTGGGGCGAAGCGAAGGAGATAGACAAGAGGGGAGGGTCCTGGAGGCCCGGCGGGAGCATCCCACCTCTGGTGAGGTACCAGAGCACCGTGGACACCAAGACCCACGCTCGCATCGCCTCTCAGGGGCTAGCGTCCTGGGGAGGCGTCGAGGGGGGCCTGCTCCTTCCTCTCTCGGCCCCGCCCAATGCCTCCTCACCCCCCCTCCGCTGGGCGGGGCAAACCGCCGGGGTCACGCCCAGGGGCGGGGCGAGAGGGCTCTGGGCATGCGCACTGGAGGCCAGCGCCCTGCCCCGCCCCCTAGAGCGCATGCGCACGCACGCACGTGGCCTGCGTCAGTGTGGAAGCTTCGCACCTCCGGTCTGACGCCATTTTCCCGCGCGTGCTGGCATCCTGCTTCTCTGAGCAGCCTGGCCTTCCCGGAAGGAAAGAGCCCAAGGCGTGGCGTTTCGGCCACTTCCGTAGGCTAGGGGCTGAAGAGTCCCCAAGAAGAACACTGCAGGTCCTAAAGATGGCGGCGGGGTAGGGCGGCTGGGCGTGGGATTATAGTAGGCCCCAGAGATGGGAGAAGCTTGTGAGAACTTCCACCCTCACAGGGATCAGAGAGCATTTCCGGTGTCCTTTTTCTCGTGAACAGCGTCTGAAACTGTGTCGCCACCTTTTTCAAACTCTCATACCCACTTTGTACCCAACTGCATTTTCCTACCCACGAGACGAAGGAGGTGTTTCCATGCCTTCCCACTTCAGAGGAACGTTTGAGCTTCGTTTTCAGCTTCACCAGGTGACAGGAGAGACCTTGCATTGGCTGCAAGTCTGTGTAGCCATGCAAATCTGTGCGGTCACCTTGCGCTTAGGAATGGGCTCTGTTGAAAGGCAAGAGCCCCCCAATCTGCTATTCCCGGGGGGGACGGAGAAGGCAAGGTCAGACCGGCGTCTTTCCTGCTTCCTTCCTGGCTACTCACTCGGAGGCCCGAAAGCCTCTGCGTGTTGTCTGTTTCTTAGCAGCGGGACACCCTCGGTCGTGGTTTTGAGTAGGCTGGTGGGTAGGAGCCCAAGGTTCAGACAGGGTGCAGAATGATTATTTTGGGTGAGATCAAGAGATGGGGTGTGTGTGTATTTTTTTTTTTTAATCTTTCTTTTTTCAGTTTTATTTCCTTCCAGCCGAGTCAGTACTTGGACCGTCTCAGATGGTCCAGGAGCAACCTTTGTCAGTGATTTCATTTTTAGTCACCGTTAATTTTACTTACATAGCATAAGCCATGAAATGTGATTAACTGAGTCAGATCCACCCCTGCCGGTTACCATGTCTAGATTCAGTTTAGCCCCAACTGTTCCTTCTTAAGGCGACGAAAATGAGGACAAATTATCTTTGATTCCCTAGAAGTTTACCAAAGTTTATTCCTGTTTTAGTCAAAGTATGTTATAAATCCAGTGTTTTATTAGCTTCCCAGTTATAAGTAATTGATCCTTGTAGATCCTGTATGATAAATGTGAATGCTATCAGAAGAAATTTAACCAAATGAATGGTATATTTTTGTTGGTTTCAGAGAGGAAGGGAGAGGGAGAGAGAGATAGGAACATCAATGATGAGAGAGAGAATCATTGTCTGGCTGCCTCCTGCCTGCCCCCTACTGGGGATGGAGCCTTGAAACCTGGGCATGTGCCCTTCACCAGAATCGAACCCGGGACCCTTCAACTCTAACAACTGTTCAGATCTAACAACTGAGCCAAACCAGCTAGGGCCAGATTTCCTTATTTTTTAGCTAATGTTCTTTTTCTGCTCTAGGATCCCATCCTGTTTCCCATATTACATTTAGTTATCATGTGCCCTTAGGTTCCTCTTGGCTGAAACAGCTTCTCAGACATTTTATAAAATTTGATGGCTTTGACAGTAACAGTTTTGATGGCATCGATCTGACCTTTGATCTTAGCTGGTGGGGTTCTTTGAACAATGTCTTTCCTGGAATTTGCCTGTTGTTTTCCTCACTCATAGTCTGGGATTGTGGGGTTTTGGTGTGGAAGGCTATAGAGGTAAAATGCCCTTCTCCTCACATCATAGCAAGTGAAAATTCTATCAACATGCCTTACACTATTAGTGTTACTTGATCACCTGGCTGAAGTAGTGTTTACCAGGTTTCTCTACTATAAAATTCTCTACTATAAAGTTACTATACTTTTTTGGAAGGAAGCCACTATGTGAAGCCCACACTTAAGGTGTGTAGAGTAGCCACAAATTATTTTACCCATTTACTTTTTACCATCCTCTTAGGTATCACTCTCTGGAGTTGGAAATACACAATTTTGAATTATTTAGAGGGTAGTAACACATTCCAATGTTAACTATAAAGAACATTGCCATGAAGATAAAAGTTTTTTTTTAATAACTTCTTAATATTCATCCTTACACCATCCATGTGAAGTTTTACAGTTCCTCTTCTGTTACTTTGATGTGCTATTTTTTGCTTATAGAAACTAACAAACAACAAATTTCCCCTTTCAATACTAAAATTAGACTTTGTGTTCAGAGTATTTCTCTGAAATTGATATTATCCTCTAGAACTCCAATCCATACAAGTGTAGAGATGCCTAGCCTTAAAACAAAGCCCATCTAAGGCACTCACTAATTAAAAAATATATATATTTTATTGATTTTTTACAGAGAAGAAGGGAGAGAGATACAGAGCTAGAAACGTCGATGAGAGAGGAACATTGACCAGCTGCCTCCTGCACACCCCCTACCAGGGATTTGCCCGCAACCAACGTACATGTCCTTGACCGTAATCGAACCTGGGACCTTTCAGTCCACAGACCGACGCTCTACCACTGAGCCAAACCAGTTTCAGCGCACTCACTAATTTTAAAAAAATCACACACACACACACACACACACACACACACACACACTCACACATAGATATGTATATATGTTGACCTTCTGTACCAATGCGTATTTAAAATAAACTAAAATTCATAAAATTGCAAGCATACTTGTAAGAGTGGGTTTCTTCCAATATGATCTGCTGATGCACAGACTCCCAACCTTAAGTCTCAGATATATTTATATTATATACACTAATAATATAAATTTATACCAAAGGTGGTAGTGATCTTTTTGAGGATCATTCACATATTGTCCAATTCAGTACACTAGGTATCTTTATAAGTCTAAACATGTCCCTTAGACTTAGTGTGAAGGAAAGATCTACTTCTGAAAAACTGTTATGTGGTCATTTTCCCTTTCCTCTCCCTACAGACAAATGTGTGCTTTACTCTATAAAGTGGGAAGGATGTTGGGAAAAGATGCTTATAGTACATCTTTGTGCACTGACATCTTTGAGTTAATTTTACTATCTTATCCCCTGACCCTTACCTCCACTTTTTAAAAACGTACTTTTCTGATACATTATATATGTATTTTTGTAAGCTGTCTGGGGTCCTATTTGAAAGAAGGCAGGGTAAAAAATTCACAGTCATAGAGTGTGTAGCATTTTGTGAGTGGTGGCAGATAAACTAAGCAGTTTCCAGAAAGGAAAATCCAAGTGAGAGAATTGCTTCCCAAAATGAAAAAGTTGGGTTGATAAAAATGTCCAAGTCCTTTTGAACTGTCCTAGAAATTTCTGCAAATTTGGACCAAGAACTTCTATCGTGTGAAATGAAAAACTGAGGAAGAAAAACAGAATACTTCGAATGAAGTTCTCATCTCATTCATGGCTATGATCTCGGAATCTAGACCAAAAGTTCCAGATCTTGCTCAACTTAAGACAAACCTCTTTTAACTTTAAACTTGCAAGAGAGCCATGCAGACTCCCCCGCCCCTGACCCAATGTGATAATACTCTCCTATCCATATTCTTCTAAAATAGACTTTTTGAGACAAGTTGCTGATGCGCCATTTCCATCCTATAGGGGTTCTCCAGTTTGACATTCAAAAAGGGGATGGAGGCGCGGGACCTCCTGCGCTCCTCTCCTCGGTGAGCGTCTTTCAAAGCGGCCGCCAGCCAGCGCCGCTGTAACCCCGCGCACGGCAGGTCGCGGGCTCCTGTCCCTTTCGATCTGCGCCGACTCGCCAGCGGATCTCGGGGACTCCCCGAGCCGGGAATCTCCCGCCAGCTGCGAGCTGCGTCCTGGCGAAGGCAGGAGCACGTGGAGTGGCCGGATAGCCAAGCGGCTGCTCCAGCCCAGCCAGGCGGCGAGATGGAAGGTGAGCCTCCAGCCTGCTTCTTTGGTAAAGGGTCTTTGGAAAGCTCGGCCAGGGCACGCAGCAGAGAGAGTTCCTTCTGAATCTCGGTTTTGCTTCTATTTGTTTCTTTGGTCAAAAGTAAACATGAGGCATTTCAGAGGGAAAAGCGCGTCGGTTCTCCTACATCTCATTTGCTTCCCTTCTCCTTGCCAACTTTGGAAAGGGGTAACTTGTCCGAAATGTTATTTTTTAGGGGGTGTCAAACATGAGGGGTCAACGCTTAAGTCTACAGAGGAAGAGCGCTTACGGGCGACCCTGAAATGGCAGCAAACATGGCTTGGAATAAATAATCCTTTGGGGGATTTTTCTTTTTTCATCTGGGGCCTCAGTGCCCATTGGATTTAGGCTAATCTGGGTGGCATGTTTAGAAAGAAAGGTGACTTTTTTCTTTTAAGAATAAGTGCTGTCATATAGGAAAGGTAAATTTTAAAGTGGTTGGCATCTGCTGGTCCCTTGGAACTGGATCTCCCAATGGTCCTTTCTTTACCCATAGCAAAAATCAGGCTCACGTTGGAGTTTCATTTGAATTAACTTTGAAAGCCATAAAATTATCCTCGCTTCTCCAAAAAATTTCCATATATACTTCTTTGGGATAACTAAAATTTCACCCTATTATAAACTTTTCAATAGTCTTTTCAACAAGTGTTTACTAAAATCTTGAAAATGGCAGATGTATCTCAAGTTGGGGGAGGTGTTCCTATTTAGAAAATCAGAATTTATGAGAAATGTGTTCATTTAATTAATAAATGAGAGAATGAAACCTAATTGAAATGTTAATTTTATAAATATCATGAATAGCATGGATTTTTCTTCATAAAAAAATCAAAGGATCTCTTATTGCCAATGAACCTCATCTTTGGCAGCGTGAGGTCTAGAGCATATGAAGTTATTAAAGTTAGATTAATTTGGGATATGAAAATAAATATGATGAAGCTTTTATTTCACAATATAATTGAGTGCCGTGGTGTGGTCCTAAATCCTCAGTTTGTACAAGGGAATTCTAACAGTTTTTTGGCCCATATACACATCTTTTTCCCCTCTAAGTAAATAAGTCAATGAACAGTATGTATTTAGTGTGTTCATAGAAACTTTAAAATGGCCATTATTGAGTAATCTTCAATTATTTTCTCTGATGAAAAATTTTTTATGCTTAAAAAATGTTTAATTATTAGGGTTTTTAAAATAATTTAAAAATTAGCACTTTGAATATTTTAAAAATGATTTATGAAGTGTAATTTTTAACATGTAAAAGTTCTGGCCAAAGACAGGAAAAAAATTAGATTACTGTACATAATGAAAAAATACTTTTAAGAACTCTCATTCTTTTATTATAAATGAATTGCTGAATTTGTTTTTATGAAATTATAAATCAGGATGCCAACACTATTTTTTCAGAATAGTGTAAATTCGTGGAAATTAGGGTGATTCTCTGTAAATGTTACTACTACCAAATTCATTTAATTTGAAGTAAAGAAATTATTAACTAAATAGCATAAATTAGAATATTAATGCTCTAACAAAAATTTTTAGGTAAGCCTGGATGAAGACTCTCTGGGCAAGGAATGAAAACTTAAATAGAATTCAGAATGTACTATATATGGGAAGAGATAAAATGTAGAATATAGATCAGTGATCAGTAGTGAGTTTAGATGATTAAATTCATAGGTCCATGGAGATGGATAGTATATAGTAAGCTTAATGCAAAAACTTCAACACTTAATAAAAAAATTAAAAATGGTTAAAGATGTGACTTTAAGCTATTCTAACGTTAAGTCCTTGAGGACAGAGTAATGTAGTTAAATATCTTGTTCATTGAGAGCTACCCAAGATTGACTAATAGGGCTTGTGTGTGATATTTAAGGTACATTTATATTATTTTGATATTTTGGTCTCAATCTAGCATAGAGATTTGATCTATATTGTATGCTCATTTTTTGACAATGTCAGAAAGTGGAGTACTTTATGGAATGTCTTTATTTTTTGCCCAATTTGTTGGCCAAATTGATATGCTAGAGTTTACTGTGAAGCTATATGGTTAATTATTTCTTTAGCATACAAAATCTTTTTAAATTCATTCATATTTTTATTCAATAGACATTTATTGAGACTTTATGTGTGCAAATATCAGATAAAATATGCCTTTGAAGTATAAATCTTGTCATATAAAATTAGTCAATGTACATATTAAATCAGAAGCTATAAATTTTTTCTCAGGATCTGTGATCCTAAATATTTTCTTTTTGTTTGTTTGTTTTTCATAGTACACATTTTACTTATATAGCATAGTGAAAGGTGAGCACAAATACTGGCTTGTACTCCGGTTTATATAGCATTATGCGCTGGTTATTTGTTCTGATGATCCTAAATATTTTTTTATCCAAAGACTATTTATGTTACTAAATTTTGTTATTTGTACTGTAATAATTAGTTCCATCTATCTGGTATGTTTGGGAAATGAGGTGGTTCATAAATATGAATTTCACAAGTATTGGCATGTTTTTCGTTAAATATAAAATCTTTCTATTTAAACAATAATGGATAGAGATTTTTCTAAGTGTATTTGTTTTACAGCCCTCTGCTTTATAAAAGGTACACAAGAGATAACTTTGTTTTGGTGACCTTGGGTCACTATTTTGACCATCAGCTAACATCTTGTTCTATAGTATATTCTCACAGGAGTTTTGATCTGTGCAGAACTGAATGCCCCTACACTAATTATTCCCTGGGTATTGTGCAGTTTTTGTCTCCTTCTTGATGTCACCTTCTACTTCTTACCACATTGCTTTTGTGGAAGCCATTTTTCATTTCAAGGTCCCTTTCCATGCTCTGGATGGTTGAGATTTACAGAGATATACCCTTCGGATGGTGGAGTATACTAGCCCACCATTATGAGCTGATGAAGGGTGAAATGGTAAAAGTCAAAGGAACAAAAGCCACAGAAAGGCCATGGGGTCCTAGTAGGACATAATTTTAGAAAATTACCTATAATCCAATGAAATAAACTCTTTCACACTTCTTCTATGTCTGCTAAAATTTTCACCGCATACATTACCTGGCTGTGCCTGTCTGCTCATCTTTCAAGACTCAGGCATAATCTCCTTCTGATGACCTTCCCTGAACCTTCTGGTACTTATTCTACCCAGTTCTTCACCTCCCTTAGCTAGGCTAGAGGCCTTTCCTTTCTGTGCGTACTTCTGCCAATTGTACTGAGAATATTTGTTGATTTAAGTGTTTATTTCCCCACTAGTCTTTAAGCTTCTTATTTTTCTACATTCAGTGCTGGAAATAGTTCCTGGTTCATAAAAGACCCTCAGAGTTTGTTGCATTCAGTTGAGAAACTAGTGCTGAGGAGTAATTTTTATTATGTTTATTATGATGCCTTTTTTTAAATTAATTTTTGTGAGTAGGGGATTGGTATTAGCAATTCTTTGATAGAACTCAGAAAATTCATAAAGTACTTAATTAAATGGTATAATAGAAAAAGGAAACTTAGAAAACAAAAATTTTGGTTTTTGTGTGTGTTTTGGCTAGCCTATAACTTAAAGCCAGATCTTATATATTAACTTTATATCAGCAGATTTTAGGATTACATATTAATTCATTGAAATACAGATCAGATATAAGCAGAAATTTGTTTTCTCAATCAGCAAGATATAGATGATTAAAATTAGCATAAAAATTTCCAGAGATATTAATATTTTAAAAACATCTTATTATAAATTTGTCATTAGTATATAAATGTATAGTAGTATATACTTACACTTATTTGGGACTAAAATATCATTGGTAGGCATTTTATTGGCCATCCACTGTTAATTGGCTCCTAACTCAAGATTTAGTTCTTAGGTCATGTATGAGAACTGATCATCACAGAAACCTGCATGTAGTAAGTGCTCAATAAACCTTTTATTATGCTAAGGATTCATTAATTATTGTAAAAAGAGAACCTAAACATCATAAGACATATAGTACACTCTGCTACTTGGCTTTTTAAAAATAAAATTCTCCATTAAGTGATATATTTATAATTATTAAAAATCATAAGGATGACCCTAAGGCCTTTTAAATCACCACAAAAAGATGAAATAATATAAACGTAATTATAGTATATTTCTATTATATGTAAATGTGATCTATGTATAACTATTACTATAATGTAATATCTCAAAATACTGTAATCCCCAGTGATTATGAATGATAAAATTTTCAGTCTTAATTGAAACCTGTTTTTTGCATTCAGTTTTTAGAGTCTAAAGTCATGGTGTACAGTAAATCAAAATAATATGTAGTTGATACCATATATTGGATACTAGAGACCTGGTGCATGGGGGGAGGGTCACTCAGCCTGGCCTGTGCCCTCTCACGGTCTGGGAGCCCTCAGGGGTGTCCAGCTGATGGCTCAGGCCCACTCCCCCGGTCGGAGATCCTTAGTGCTGCTGTGGAGGTGGGAAGGCTCCCGCTACCGCCACTGCACTTGCCAGCCTGTGAGCCCGGCTTCTGGCTGAGCATCGCTCCCCCTGTGGGAGCGCACTGACCACCAGGGGCAGCTCCTGCATCGAGCGTCTGCCTTCCTGTGGTCAGTGCGAGTCAGAGTAATGGGTCATTCTGCTGTTTGGTCAATTTGCATATTAGCCTCTGATTATATAGGATGTGTCCCACCTAAGAGAGATAAAAAAGTTGTGTTTACTAATGGATATGAAACAGAATAAAAGCATTTATAGAACAATATTATTTTTAATATATATTTTTTATTTCAGAGAGGTAGGGAGAGGGAAAGAGAGATAGAAACATCATTGATGAGAGAATCATTGATCAGCTGCCTCCTGCATTCCCCCTAACGGGGATCAAGTCTGAAACCCAGGCATGTGGCCTTATTTGGAATGGAACCTGGGATCCTTCAGTCTGCAGGGAGACGCTCTATCCACTGAGTCAAACCAGCTAGGGCTAGAACAATATTCTTT